GCACGCCCAGGGGACCGAGAACACCCCACACCCCACCCTGCTCCAGGCTCACCACCGCACCCCTTTCCACCTTCTCCCCTAATGTCCCTCAGCCACTCTGCGTGGCCTGCAGCCTGCCCTTTGGGTGTAGACACCCTACCCCACCCCTGCACCCCCTCTGTACCTCAAACCCCACAAGGGGAGCACGGGGTCCAGGGACAAGGAGGGATCAAATCAGGTAATTACCATCCTCCTTCTCCTCAACAGACCACCCTGAGCACCACTGCGGGACGGCGCCCAGCAAGGGCAAGGCCACAGAGAGGCTTCCTTCCTGTTTTCAGGTCAGGTGCCTGTAGTGAAGACTCAGTCAGTTGTGAAATGCCTCTCCCTCTCCTCCGCTTCCTTCCATGTCCTGTCTGCCTGCCTCTTTATCTTTTCATGATTTTCCTTGTTCCATCACACACGGGATACACAACCGCATTTTCAGGTTAAGACGTTGAGACCATACATGATTGAGATTACAAAGCAAAGCGTCAGCACCCTACCGTGCCTCCACCTCCCCCACAATCCCCCTTTCTTCCTCCCAGGTGGAATCACTGCCAGAGTTTGGTATGCACATCTCATCCCCGTAGCTGGGAGAAGTTCCTGCATTTACACATATGTGAGTACACACGTCTGCCCAGTATATACAAATACGGCCTTCTTACCTATATGCCTACGTGTACATGTACGTACGTATAACTTTTGCGATGCTTTGATGTAATCGAGGCCATACCATAAGTGTTCTGCAACTTGCTATTTGCGTGTGATGTGTTTGGGGGAACCGTCAATCACAGAACACACAGGTCTACACGGAGCCCTGTCTCGTCCTAACAGCTGCACGTTCCAATCTGCAGATTTCTGCAGGTTTTTTAACCTCTCCTTATGGACAGTTCTGGGGTTTCAAAGGTTTGTTGTGGTATCACAAACAAGGAAGTGACGACTGTTATGATCAGTTATCTGTCGCTGCCTAGCACATCACCCCAAAACTCGGTGGCTTAAAACCATAATACGTGTTTATTATCACTCACGGTTTTTGCCAGGCATTGATCTGGGAGCCGCGCAGTCAGGTGGCGTCTGCCTCCGCATTTTTCACGAGGCTGCAGTCACTGGGTTGTGGGGGGCGGGGGCTGGAGGGTCCCCTCGCTCACAGGGCTGGCAAGTGGGTCTCAGTTGATGGCGGCGAGCCTTCGTTTCTCCCCATGTGGGCCTCTCCACTGGGCACTCTCACAACATGGTGGCTGGTTTCCCCCAGAAGGAGTTATTCAAGAGCGAGCAAAGCAGACGCAGCAATGCCTGTTAAACCTCAGTTCAAAGGTCACACGTGGTCAGTAGGAGGTATTTTTCCATTCCAGTGGGGGCTGGGGGGGGGGGGGGGCGGGGGGGGGGGTGTGTGTGCTGGCTGGGGACGGGCAGTCCGGAAGAAGCTAGACTGCCTTCCATTGGAGGGGACTGGACCACATCAGCCAGGGAGCCGGCGGACTCTCAGCGACCTCTCCACCGCGCCTGCGCCGTCTGGACCCGTCCAGGGTCACAGGTGCCCCTGATTGAGGCCGCCTCGCCCCCGCCGACAGATCTCATCATCAACGGGTTACGCGGGGCAGACGGGGGATAATTTCAAACGCAGGTGCCAGAATCTCTTCGGTCATGACGGAGGAAGCCACAGTGAACGCGTGGACGTGAACTCCCAACAGTTACTTGTGTGCGAAAGAGAGAAACATCAGGATAGGTGACTCAGCTCCTCAGCAACAAAGCAGCCCCTCGGGAGAAACATGACTCGCAACAAGGGATTCCTACTCTGGGCACGTTCCGTGGAGTGGAAGAAAAAAACTTTCTTGTTCTCCAAAGACACAGTTCATCGGATACTGATAAAAGGTTTGGGAGAGCTCGAATTGGACTCCAAAGAAGAGAGGTATGGCGTAAGCTCTGTGCACAAGACGGACAGAGGGTCCAACAGAACTGTAGGAAGTCGCTCTCTGACACAGAGGTTGCGGGAAACTGTGGGCCTGTGTTTTCCCATGAGGACTTACACCAAGCGGCCAAAATCCCTCTTCTAAAAAAGGAAAAATACACCTTTCTGAATTAGTGCTTGAGAAATGCCCTTTTCCTGCTAGCTCAGATTTAGCCCCCAAACGGCACTTATTACATGGCATATAGCCCCTGTGAGCCTACACTCAACGTTTTTTGATACATTTGATAGATCCTCGGTTTCTAGGAAAGATGGAGGAGATCAGCTTTGGAAAAGAAAGCAGCAGGGCGCCTGGGTGGCTCAGTTGGTTAAGCCTCCGACTTCGGCTCAGGTCATGATCTCATGGTTCATGAGTTCGAGCCCCGCGTCGGGCTCTGTGCTGACAGCTCAGAGCCTGGAGCCTGCTTTGGATTCTGTGTCTCCCTCTCTCTCTGCCCCCCTCCCTCCCCCACTCACACTCTGTCTCTCTCTCTCTCAATAAATAAACATAAAAAAAAAAGAAAGCAGCAAAGTATTGAAGAAGGGGTTGACCCCCCCTCCCAACGCACACATATGTACATCTGAAGCAGACCACACAGGTCAATCCATTTTATTTTTTTTTTAATTTTTTTTCAACGTTTTTTTTATTTATTTTTGGGACAGAGAGAGACAGAGCATGAATGGGGGAGGGGCAGAGAGAGAGGGAGACACAGAATCGGAAACAGGCTCCAGGCTCTGAGCCATCAGCCCAGAGCCTGACGCGGGGCTCGAACTCACAGACCGCGAGATCGTGACCTGGCTGAAGTCGGACACTTAACCGACTGCGCCACCCAGGCGCCCTGGTCAATCCATTTTAAAGTGGGACCGACGTTAACCGGGAATGACTGAAGTGGGGACAATCCTGCAATTCCATAGGCTGATGTGACTCAGCAGGGGATACTACCACCCTGTGTCTGAGGTCAAGTAGGCAGAAGCAACAGCAGGTGTCTGGAGACAGCCTATGCTCACAGGTTAGCAGACAGGGAGCTTGGAAAGTCCATACACAGATTGATTACATCCCCCGCTTCGTGCCTGATTTGCTTCAGATTACAGGGAATCCCTGTTGCTGGGGAGTGATGGACCGTTACGAAGCATAAGCCTCCTTGAAGGGAAACCTGAAGGCACATTCTCGCTCAGGGACTCTGAGCAAAAGGTCTACCTCTTCTCTATGAGCTCCCGGCACTACAACAGATCCCTGTGTGCCCCGACTGAACAGTGGAACCACAACGTTAGTTCTGACGCCCACGACCATGTGTGTTTCACTCCTCCGCTGCCACAGGACTTTCGGAACATTATAAAGGTCCCAGTGCTGGCATGGTTTTTTTTTTTTGAACCATCGCTTACTATCTCACCAAGCAGGACTTTCCCTTTTAGCCTGCAGTATATCTGCCATGCCGTAATCTGCAGACGCACTAATATGATGGAATTGATGGGCTCCCTTTACCATCAGCGTTGCAGGACTTTTTTTGAAAGAGTATCGTTATAGGCAAAAAGGTAGAGTTCGCTGGTTAGAATGAGAACCAGTGAAGGCAAAGGAAACTCTCCTGCCCTCAAAGGGCGTTAACTAAATCTGCTTTTATGTGCATCAGACAATACACCTATAGCAAGTACTGTATGCATCAGTGTTAGGTTTTTTCAGTACAGGATGTAGGCTTAGTATCCATCAGAGGCAATCTGCTGTTACTTACTCAGATAAACGTGGTGCCTATGGAGACAACAGAGGACAGGGCTACAGGTATTCAGGAAGGCTACAAACACATTTTGTCCATTGAGCTAACAGTTTGGTTTTTGCAAACTGTAGTAATTGAGTGAGGCAACTCCGGGGCATTTGCCGTGAAGAATTCTATTTATTACTAAAGAACAAATTATTAATATTGGATGAGTGTTTCAACAGTGTGACTAATGTTTAAAATCGTTATTTTTTTTTTCAGACTTTTTCTGTGAGCTTCCAAAAGTAATGATGTTTGTAGTGACTATAAATCAAGCTTTGGAAGTCCAAAAAATAAAGACGGCCTTCCTTTGAGGAAAAAAAAAAAATGCAGTTTTCTGGCCACAAGGGCATATAGTGCATTTCACTTACGTATTGGTATAGTTTATAGTCAGTCCCCTGTCTCTTCTGCAAAAGGTACTGTTAAGTAAACCAGGTTTTCTAAGTAGTTGTTCTAAATTTTCAGGCTTCTAAACTTGGCAATAGAATTTTATTTAAAGGCCCTATGTATTAACTTTTTTAAAAAATGAGTGCTTTAACTTAAAACACACTGGGGAAAGCTGCAATGTAGTCCTGTGTGTGATTTTTTAAATTTCTTAATATTTTTATTTTATTTTTGAGAGAGAGAGCTGGAGGGTGAGCTCGGGGTAGGGGGGCAGAGAGACAGGGAGACACAGAATCCAAAGCAGGGTCCAGGGTCCGAGCTGTCAGCACAGAGCCTGATGCGGGGCTTGAACCCATGAACAGTGAGATCATGACCTGAGCCGAAGTCAGATGCTTAACGGACTGAGCCACCCAGGAGCCCCTGATTTTTCAGGTTAATACATGTAGTCTAACCGTTGATTAAAGTTGCATCTTTTCCTGGGCCCATGATGAGTTTGTGAACCATGAAGAAAATGAGACTAGAAGATGCCCAACCAGGTCAGATCAACAATAACTACAGTGGTTGCTGATGTTGTGATTATTGTTAAAGTGTAATGAACAATTTGGATTTATCTCTTTGTTGTAAACTCTTATAGCTGAATTGCTTAAGTACAATTTGTAGAATTTCAGTGCAGTTAATTTCTAATGGAAAATCTGAAACTTACATTGTAGATTTAAAAGGTACTGTACAAGGGCACCTGGGTGGCTCAGTCAGTTGAGTGTCTGACTTTGGTTCAGGTCATGATCTCACAGCTCGTGGGTTCAAGCCCCACATTGGGCTCTGTGCTGACAGCTCGGAGCCTGAAGCCTGTTTCAGATTCTGTGTCTCCCTTTCTCTCTGCCCCTCCCCTGCTCAAGCCCTGTCTCTTTCTCTTTCTCAAAAATAAACATTAAAAAAAATTTTTTTAAGGTACTGTGCAACCATTATATTTGTAAATTATTTAGCACGTTTTTGTCACCTAGAATAGCGTGCCATACTACTCGAGGGGGCTATCTTGCAAGTAATACCAAGTTCCAGTGTTTGCTTCTTAGTATTGAACTACATTTACAGTTCTGTCCTAGACACGTCGCACCAGTCGAATCCATTCGTGTGTCTTTTTGTTCACGTGCTCTGTACCACTGGTGAGTGCGCCTTGGTTTCCTTACCTGCTGCCACAGAAAGTTCTTTTACATCCTGATGGCTATTGCCAAGGCTACAGGAAAGAAAAGCTTTATTTGTATGCAACCCTAACCCTTTGATGGCTAACCTAGGTTCCTGCTTGCTGCGCCTTGTTCCATCTGTGTTCTTATGCTAATGAAGTATGTTTGGTGTTCTCCTTGTAAAACAACAACAACAAACGAGTCACATGTTGTCACTTCTGCCACATCCTGTTCATCAGAAACCAGTCACTAAGTCCAGCACTTTTGAAGGAAGGAGTGCAAAGGATTTGTGAACATATTTTAAAACCATCAGTTCTGCCCTGACGCACGATCTGTGTGGACTTATGCGAAGGTATCCTTAGAACAGATTTCTAGAACTCAACGACTGGATCAAGTGATACATGCACTTTGAATCTTGACAATTCCTGTTTGTGGCAGAAACCGTTCATCGTCCTCCAATAGCCATCGTCTCTCTTTCTCCATTTAGCACTGGACCTCCTGACTTTTAGCTGGCACAGCTCGAGAATGTACCTCCCAACCTCCATTGCTGCTACGTGGAGATGTGCGACGAAGTCCTGTCCAGTGAGAGGTATTGTGTGAAACTTCGGGTCGTGCCCTTAAATTAAAGGAAGCTATTGGCATACTTCCTTCCCTGTGCAGATCGTGGGGTGACACGTAGAAAGAACCCATCCCTGGATCCCCTCATGGAGCCGCCCTTCTTTGCAGGACTTCCTACCAGCCTAGACTTTTGTATGAGAGAGAAATGGAGTTACACTGCCCGCCTGCATGTCCCATCTCTGCTGCTTGTCTGTGGTGACATGTACCTGAGTGCCCGCTAAGCGCCAGGCGCAGTTTCCCTCGAGAAACTGCTGTATCCGGAGCTCAGCTGTGGAGGGCCAAGAGGGACAATAAGCCAGGCTGGGCTGCAGTCCCCTCACCTGGAGGGTGGGGACAACTCCCAGGGCCATTGCAAAGACCAAATGAAGTTACATGAGCATCGGATTGTGACCACAGCACCTGGAGGCAGCAAAGCCTCGGTACAGGCAGCTGTTATAAAGAAGAAAAGCTATATAGGTGCCTGGGTGGCTCAGTCGGTTAAGGCTCTGACTCTTGATCTTGGCTCAGGTCATGATCTCACAGTTCATGAGTTCAAGCCCCACGTTGGGGTTCAAGCCCCACGTTGTGCTGATGGCCATGGCTCAGAGCCTGGTTGGGATTCTGTCTCTCTTTTTCTCTGCCTCTCCCCCGCTTATGTGTTTTCTTTCTCTCAAAATAAACTTTAAAAAATAATTAAGAAAAGCTATAAAAGAAAGCCTCCAGCACCCCCCCCCCCATTTCCTCTCTGTGCCCTTTTGTCCCCTCACTGGTAACTTACATAGACTTTAATACCCATCTCCCTGGGGTGGGGGGGGGGGAGGGGGAACCTGCTTTCATAAAAGATCTCATAAATTCTTTCTCACCGAGATAAGAATGACTGGTATTGTTTAATGCACTTCTCCTGCTACACGTACACTCTAGTGGGGGACATACTGTGCTTGACTAGACCACAGACGTGAAAAGCCTAACTATGAAATTTCGGGCACCAGTGAAGCTAGGTGGGGGTGCTTGGCCCGCTAGGAGGGGCTTCGCTGATGCTGTCGAAATTGTAATTTTTAGGGAGCCGGCCCTGACCTCCTGTCCCCTCTCTTCTTTAATATCTTCTTCCCTCTCTTTACCTTTTTTTTTTTTTAAGGTTTATTAATTTTTCCAGAAACAGAGTGTGAGCAGGGGAGGGGCGGAGAGAGAGGGAGGGAGACACAGAATCGGAAGCAGGCTCCAGGCTCCGAGCTGGCAGCACAGAGCCCAACACGGGGCTCGAACCCACGAACCGTGAGATCATGACCTGAGCCGAAGTCGGACGCTCAACCGACTGAGCCACCCAGGCACCCCCCTCTTCCCTCTCTTCTCTCTTCAGCTCCCTCTGGGTCTTTTCCTTGCCTAAACGGCCATCTGAGTCTCTGATGATTCAATGGGATTACGTTTCCACAGGCAGGTGTGTGTCTTGTTTAGTCACATTAAAAATAAATCACTTAGCCCCACACAGTCAATGCATCAATCTGTTGCTCTCCTCTGCTTTCCAGGAATGGGTTGCTCAAAAAGCAAATGACTCGTGGGTCACGTGAGTGGGGAAGGCCGAGGTGGAGTGACAGCACCCTTCTAGTTCGCCCACCAGCCTCCCGCCGGAGCAGACAGGGAATCCGTCGTGCCCGAGACTATGCCCATCTCAGAGTGCACGCTGTGTTCTTGCGGCCCATGACGGTGAGCTATGGAAGAAATACGGCTTGGGGAGGTGGGGTGGGGCTCGGATTTACTGATGCTTCCTATGTGCCAGGCCCAGTACTTTCTTTTTCGTCTCTTCCCTTCTTCCATGGGGGAATCAGGATTCTGGTCGTGGGAGTCTGGGCACGTTGGTCTTTCAGGGCCTCGTTTCTTGAAACCAGAAACATTACATCTTTCTCTAATCATTCCTTCTGCTATGACGGAAGAGTCTGGGGGTTAGGCAGACCTAGCTCACCACTGTGGGCACGTGGCTTAGCCTGTTTCTTCAGCTCTAAAATAGGGCCAGAAATCAGGATCGAACCAGATAATATATTTAAGACACCTTATAAATAGGCAGCTAAAAAAGGATGGTGTGTAATTCCTCCTTCATAACACAGGTGACATACTTCACCGTCTTAGAGGTTTGGTCATTTTTACAGGTTGGGGTGGCAGTGTTCCAGGAGGGGAGTGGGTGTGGGTGTGGGTGTGGGTGGGTGTTTCTTGATGAAAACAGTGTGGGGGAGAGAGACCAGAGTCTTTGTAGAAATCTCAGCACTTTAGAAAACCAGACCCCAGCCTCTATCAAATGCTGCCGGGGGGGGGGGGGGGCCCGTATCAAAGACCGTCCTCCCCAAAGTCTTGCTTGGTGTGGCCTCCTTCCACGTCCCATGTGGGCTGGTCTGTGATTTGCTTTAACCAATAAAATGTGGCAGAAGTGACGCGGAGGCAGTTCTGGGCCTAAGCCTTAAGAAGCCATGGAAGGTCACAATTTTGTGCTTTGGGGAGATCTGGAGCCAATATGTAAGAAATTTAGTCTCTCTGGGCTGGAGAGACCATATAGAAAGAACACGTGGAGAAGGAGAAACCCTAAGAATATATGGAGAGAGGGAGAGACAGACGGACAGTGGGAGAAAGGCCCAGCCACTCCCGTGTGCCACGGAGCCCAGCCCTCCAGCCACGGCTCTGAGGCACCAGCCGTGTGAGTGACCCAATCCAGATACTCTAGCCCAGTCCAGCCCCCACATGACTGCGGTCCCAGCCGACATCGTGGGCAACGGAACTGCCAAGCAGATCCCAATCACCCCACAGTCTCACGAGAGACAATAAAACAGTTGTCTTAAGCCATTAAATTCTGTGTATTATATACAGCAATAGATAAAGAAGCAGTTAGTGGGATCTTGGAGTTATCGCTATGTGACAAACCATGGACGCTCATTATGAGAGGTACACAGGCACCGCCCTTGGGAGCTTGGTTTGGGCAAGGAGGTTGCACACGGGCAAGGATGAAGATTTGAGACTGTTATTAATCCACACTCAAGGGTGTGCTTAGAAGCGGGATGCACGGACTGTTGATGATGGTGTTGGGAGGGTGAGGCAGGAATACCTCCTAGAGAAAAGGAGTTTTGAGCTGGGTTTGAAGGAAAGAGCAGATGACCTGAGAAGATGTCTCAGAGAATGAAGGGTAAGGCATTGACAGCAGCATGGTGGGGAAATTAGGACCCTGGGGAGGAGGAGTTGAGAAACTTTAAGTTTGGTGTTAGCTGGGTATAAAAAGAAGGGGGCTGGGGAGCCTGGGTGGCTCAGTTGGTTAAGCATCCCACTTCGGCTCTGGTCATGATCTCGCAGTCTGTGAGTTTGAGCCCCGAGTTGGGCTCTGTGCTGACAGCTCAGAGCCTGGAGCCGGCTTCGGATTCTGTGTGTCCCTCTCTCTCTGCCCCTCCCCTGTTCATGCTCTGTCTCTCTGTCTCTCTATCTCTCTCTCAAAAATAAATAAAAATTAAAAAAAAAAATAAGGGGGGCGGAAAGGGGATCTTGCCAAGCTAGGCCTGTGGGAGCCTCAGAAAAAGCTGGTTATTTCACGAGCTTTACTTTCTCCATCCCATTTGGTAAAAATATAACTTGTGAATGGCAGCATCCTTCGCTGCAGAATTACACATGCTCGCGCTTGCCACTGCAGTCTCTTGGGGACTCTTCAGCACCCCCTGGAGGAGGCTCAGGGGGTGCACAGGTCTCCTCCCAGGATGGCATGTGGGGGGCGGGAAGTGAAGCTGAGGGAGGGGGCTCCGTGTGGCTGAAGAGGAGGGGAAGACTTCAATCTGTGGAAGCAGCAGCCACCAGAGCGAACTGGTTGGTAATTAACACGTTAGTTAACAGGTAATTAACAGTTAATGGCTCACTTCAGGGCTAACGTGAGGCTGGAGCCAGGGCAGGAAATGACTTTAAAATCCCTTCCTTCCCCTCCGTGTTTGGTGGGGTTTTGACCTCTCCTACCTGGGAAGATCTGGGTCATGTTTGTCTCCCCGGCTCCAGGAGTCAGGGCCAGAAGGTGATGGCTAGCCCCAAGAAACATCAACTCCTAAGAAAATGAGCGATTCTGCCCTTCCCTTGAGGAAACAGGGGCCCAAGTGCAAGTTGTAGGGAGAGGGGCACATGGTCCCTGCTCTAGGCACGGAAAGGCTGACGGGGTCAGGGGCCAGGCAGCTTACCCCGCCACGTCTTCTCAAATTGTAGGGTGGCACCTGAACTTGTGGGTCCACCCAGCTTACTCCATTGATAACTTCAGTATTCACTGTTATTAATTTTTATAGGCATGGAGTGAATCGGTTAGGAGCCTGCTTAGCTGTGAGGAATACAGCGCCCAACGAACTGTGCCCTGAGCGATAAAGATATTCCCCCAATCCACAAAGAACTACTGAGAGGTGACCCCATGCCAGGCACTGTTGTAGGAGCTGGGGAGAGAGCAGAGAAAAGCGAACTTCCTGTTCCGGAGCAAGAAGGTAGCTCCTGTGAGGGCAGGGGCTTGACTTTGCCTTGATTACTCCGGGCACCTTTCTCCTCCAGTCCCCCCTTGTATTGGCTTCTGCCTCGTGGTCAACAGGTGGCTTGGGATGTCCAGGAATCTCAGTGGAGACAGGAAGCAGGAGACAGAGGTGACCAGCCATCCCTGTTCCCTCTACCAGAAGGACACAAGCTTTCCCGGAACCCCCAGCAGATTCTTGCTTACCATCATCACTGGGGAGACCCTGGGGCAGCGTGCGGCTACCTCAGATTTTTCATGACTAGTTAATCTGGTTGTCATTTATCACCTGGGGTTGCCCAGAACAAAGTCGGGGTTTAGTCTGCAAAAGAAAAGGGGGAAAGAACATTGGGGTCAGGCTGTCTTGTTCCCCCCGTGGCTCTTGGGGGTCGGCAGCCACCGACAAGGTAAACACTCTCTGGTCAAATCTTAAGTAAATAGGGAAACAAGTTAAAAGTGGCATTAGATACAACCCCAGATGAAGCAAAAAGGCTTTACTCATTTACTGCTGTTTACTGAGCTCTTTGGCGAGCGCTCTTCAGGATGTGTGAAGGGGGATGAAAGGCTCCAGCCTCAGGGAATGTTCAGACCAGCTGGAGATGACAGGCACATGAAACAGCCTACGCCCGTGAGAGAATGAAAAGGCTTTGGTGGGATCTCAATGCACAGATATCGAACAGAGGTCCAGGTAAAGGCCATCATCGCATGAGGCACCCTCATGGCCCTCCCTGCCCACACCCCTCCTGGAGAACACATTCTGCTCACAGCTCTTAATGGGGAGTCCTGAGACACGCAGGCCCCTCCCCACCCCCAGCAGGCCCCTCCCCACCCCACGCAGGCCCCTCCCACCGCTGCCCACGGCTGTGGGGACCACACATGGGCCTTGAGTCAAAGGCAGCGGATCCCCTGGCTGGCGGCAAGGAGGCGAGCCCAGCCACTCAGATACTTTCTCTCTCTCTCTCTCTCTCTCTCTCTCTCTCTCTATCTCAAGTAAGGGACACAGAGACAACAGCCCCTGTGCAAGAGGTCCTGATACCAGATGGGGCCTGAAGGGAGCAGAGAGCTGAGGCCTCTCACTCCTGACTTGGGTCCATCCTCTCTGGTTCCATCCTGACCATCAACTTCCCTTTTACTAGGGCTGGTTTGAGTAGGTTTTGTGTCTCGCCTTGAATGCCATTGGTGTGGGAAGGCTTGGCCTCCACCCTTTACCCTTCACCCCTCACCCCTCACCCCTTCACCCACCTCCTACTTGCTTCCCAATCTATCCCCCGCCTCCACCTTGCTCCGGATTCTCTTCCCCCAGCTGGTCTCCCTGCATTGGCTCTCCTGCCTCCATTTCATTTCCGCATGTGGACAGTGATCTTTCTAACATGACCCTGGCATGCCCTTGCTCTAAGTCTTTGAGTGGCTCCTCACGGCTCGGCCTTGTGGACCCAGCTCCACCGCTGCCCTCCTGCTCTGCCAGCTACCCCCCCAACCCCTCCCCCCCGCCGCCCTCCACCACCCTGAGACACAAAGTCCCATGGGGAAGCCTGTGCACATACTTGGACCTGTATGCATGAATATCCACTTCCCTCCACCCCCGTTTCCCACTCCTCCTTCAAGACCAAGGCCTGGGTTCATCTCACCCCACCCTGACCTTGGTTCCCTCCTCTGGCCATCACAGCACTTTATGAGGACCTCCCCTGGTATCTACTTCATTGTATTGGGACCACACTTGCTGTCCTTGTCACCTGGCACAAGGCAGGCATTCAACAAATGCTTCTAGAATGAATGAATGAATGAATGAATGAATGATTTTCAAATGGTGAGCCAGCAGGCCTCAGATGATTCGATAGGGTTTTGTTGGGGGAAGAGGGCACGAGGAGGGGGTTTTCCTCCCTGGGAGAGTAGCCTCAGTCTAGCCTGGGTGGACAGCCAGGTTCTTTTTTGTTTCTTTCTTTCTTTCTTTATTTTTGAGAGAGAGAGAGAGAGAGAGAGCACAAGTGAGGGAGGGGCAGAGAGAGGGAGAGAGGATCCCAAGCAGGCTTTGCATTGTCAGCACAGAGCCCAACGCAAGGCTCGAACTCACGAACTGTGAGATTAGGGCCCGAGCTGAAATCAAGAGTCGGACACTTAACTGACTGAGGCACCCAGGCGCCCCTTGCCAGGTTCTTTTTGAGGCCCTCTTGCCTCCTAAAGCCCACCCCATCTCCCTGCTCATCTGGGGACATGGGGACAGGCTATTTGAAACTGGCCTTCTTGTCCTCAACACTGAATTGAAACCCCCAGGAGAATTTTGCTGTGTTCGTCTTCTGGAGAAGAGGAGCACAGAGCCGAAGGGCAGAGGCTGCAAAGTGTGGCTCAGATTTGATAAACAGGCAGGAGGTTTCAGAAGCAATCAGGGGAGAAAAGAACATACATTATTCCTGGAATTCACAATGAACCGCTAATGAGCTAGAGGAGCTATGATCTGATCTTGTCCTGCCTCCTACAGCCCAGGACTGCTGGGTGTGGGACGGGACGCAGGGAGGGGCGCTGTCTGCCGCACCAGCATGCACACGGCCTGGCCAGGGCACCCCCCAGGACATGGGGGGTGGGGCGGTGGCGTTTGCTGACCCCTGGGAGCCTGGTGGCCCTCCCTGGGATGGGAGGGTGTTTATTAGCCCTCCAAAGGTGGCCAGTCATAAAGGACTTAAAGACAAGGACTACAGGTGCTTCCTGACAGCAGTGCCGGAAGAGTGTCCTCCCTAGAACCCAACAGTGCTGGCACCCTGTCCTTGGACCCCTAGCCTCCAGAACTGCAAGAAATAAATCATGTGGTTTATAAGCCCCCAGTCCGTGCTGTTTTGTTACAGCAGCTCAAACAACCAACAGTTATTGAAATGTACTACATGCAGAGGACTGTTTTAAGCAGCTCTCACACATTACCTCATTTAGTCCTTACCACTGTCCTATCTAATAGGTACCATTATTATGATTGTGCCCATTTTACAGATGAGGAAACCGAGAACAGAGACCTTGACCCTTCTGTCCACTGTTGAACTCCAGCACCCAGAATGGTAGGAATTCAACACTCGTCTGTTTAACGGCACCATGATGTGCTCTAATGGGGAGCTCAGGGGCCAACAACCTCCCGGATGATGGCCCAGTGGGACCTGGGAAACGGACTGAGGCCCTGATGCCATTCAAGAGGTCTGCCCCTGCCTCCTGCCCTCTTTTCATCCACACTTATTTTTCAAGGCCACTTATATGCAGCACTTTCACAAAGAGAGAAATCAGATTTAGGTTTGGCTCCCGAGTAGATTATAATTACAATTTAAATCAGGGATAACCTATGCAGAAAAACCATGGCAAAGTAACAAAAATCACAAAGAGAAGCAAACAATGTGCTGTAATAATTTTCTCATTCGTTCGTTCATTCATTCATTCATTCGTTCACTCACTCAAGGAGCATTCAGTGGGTTCAGCCCTGGGATGCAGAGATGAGACTGACTTAGGTCCCGCTTCCAGTGGGAGGAGGCAGTGAAGGGTAGCAAAGGCCTGGGGCCAGCAGCTGAGGAGAGCGGGCTCCAGGCCAGAGGCCTGCCCCCCACATCTCTCTTCTCTCTGCTCTGAGGGGACCTTTCCCCAGAGCTGGCCCAGCCTCAAGTGCAGCCTAAAGGGTTCTGGTCTGCCGAGAAAAGCAAGTCAGTGGACCTTGTCCCAGGCCTTGGGGCTAGCTGACCCCTTTCTGTGTCCCTCTGTCCTCCCCCCTCCCTCTGTGATAGCTGGCAGAGGGCTCCAGGCTCCTGGCCTGGCTGCACACTCATGCACCTGCTCACTCACGCGGAGCCATCTACAGACAGCCTGGCCTCTTCCCCCATCTGCCCACGCAGCTCTGCGGGGCGATTGATGGGGCTGCTCTCGCTCTGGGTCCCAGAGAGCTCCTTTTGAATAATAACTTGGCAAAATTACTCTTTTTGCTCTCCCTATTTCGGATTCATTTGTTCTTTCTAAGTCATTCATCTTTTTTGAGTCAGAGGAAGAATGAGGAAGAGGAGGAGGAGGAGTCACAGGTGCGAGGGGCCAGGAGCCCCGCCTCCTCCTGTCACCGACTGCACCCGAGACAACGGCACCTCTCCCACTAGGATGTCTCTATTACACCTGACCTCTGCCCGTGGGAGAAAAGCCAGTGTGGGAGGTAAGGGAGGTGGGGGAGGGAGAGGCCTTTCTGGACCGCTGAAGCCCCACCTTGAAGGCAGCCGCCTGCTCTATTCACATGCAAGGTCTCCTGACACGCTTGCGGGGAATGTTAGGGTTTTCTCACCCTCAAAGGGGAGCAGCAAAGAAGGTAGGAAGGAGAGATGGGGGTTCAAGTGGGTCCTGTCAGCTTACCAACACCTTCACTGGCCACCTGCCATGTGCGAGCTCCAGAAAGACAGACAAACCGATTCTATTCCTGCCCCCAAGGGGTTCGCGGGCTAGTACACAGGTAAGCACGACACCTGCGGTACATGGTCTAGTGGAAGTAAGTCCTGTGCAAGCATATGGAGGAGACTATTTATTCTGTGACAAGAGGGACCAGCAAGGCAGTCTTCACAGATGGGCGGGTGATGAGCTCTTCCGAAGCCTCAGTCTAAAGGTGGGGGAGGATGCTCCAATGGGGGGAGGAAATAGCTTCTTTCTTTTACCAAAAAATGTGCCCTTTGCTCCTCTGCCACACAGAAACTCACTGCCTATTTCTCTTTATTTTGTTTTCTCCAGCAGGCTGCACGCACACAACTGGGATGGTTCGAGTATGGCCCCAAATGTCCGCGGGCACGATCAGGGAGCCTGTTTGGGGCCATTTGCCGCATGGCTACGGTTGGGAGGCTGGAAGTTTCCTTGAGAGTCAAGTCTCCTTCCAGCCATCTCTGCCATTCAGCTTGAGTATTTCTCCCCCTGGGAAGGATTTCCCCATAAAATAAATGTCTCGTCTGAATTAATCTTATTTTTCAAAGGAGGGAGTCGTCATATTGTAAAGACAGATCATAAAAAGATGCATCAATCTGTCAGGAAGGCTGGTTACTATGAGTATTTGTTTAGCAGAAACAGTGTGCCCCATCCCCACCCCAGACATCTGGCCCGAGAGGCTGGGCTATTGCTGGGTCCAGCCCCATGCGGGCAACTTCTCCTGAGTGCCCCAGGCCTCTGCAGTCTTTGCGGACCAGCCCCAGTCCCGGAAGGGGCCTGGCTAGGGTGCCCAGGTTGGCATATTGTGGCAGCCTAACTTTTCAGAAGAGGCCTGGAGCGCCCCCCACTGGAGGGGCCAGTCCCACTGCCCAGACATGTCCCAGACACTTTCATTCGGGAGCTAATGGTCTTTGGGATCTTAACGATACTCCAGACAATCTCTCCATTTTGTTTACACTTGGGAAAAAAAAAAAAAAAAAAAAAAAAAAGATCATATAGGCCTTAACCTCAGGTCATAGATTAAAAAGTAAACCGGTTAGGGGCACTTGGGTGGCTCTGTTGGTTAAGCGTCCGACTTCAGTTCAGGTCATGATCTCACAGTGAGTTCAAGCCCTGCATGGGGCTCTCTGCTGTCAGCACAGAGCCCTCTTCAGATCCTATGTCCCCCTCTCTCTGCCCCTCCTTCACTCGCGTTCTGTCTCTGTCTCTCAAAAATAAACATAGAAGGGGCGCCTGGGTGACTCAGTCGGTTGAGCGGCGGGCTTCGGCTCAGGTCATGATCTCACAGTCCGTGAGTTCGAGCCCCGCATCGGGCTCTGGGCTGACCGCTCAGAGCCTGGAGCCCGTTTCAGATTCTGTGTCTCCCTCTCTCTGACCCTCCCCTGTTCATGCTCTGTGTCTCCCTGTCTCTAAAATAAATAAAACGTTAAAAAAAATAAAAAAAAAAAGAATAAAACCTACAGACATTTATCATAGAAACTTCAAACTTTATGGAGGGTAAAAGTTTTTTAAAAAAGATAAAACGTAAAAAAAAAAAAAGATGAAAAGTAAAAAAAAATCATAAAAAAAAGAAAATCCTTCCTGTTCCTCATTCCTACTCCCCAAAGCAGATACAAATACATATATATATGTACATATATGCACATATATATGTGCATCTTTTAAAGAAATATATTTTATGTATACACCAGTATTTAAAAATATTCACATTCATTCTGGGGTGCCTAGCTGGCTCATGCAGCTGAGCGTCTGACTCCTGATTTCGGCTCAGGTCAAAATCATGACCCCAGGGTCATGGGCTTAGCCCCATGTCGGGCTCAGCGCTGAGTCTGAAGCCTGCTTGAGATTCTCTCTCTCCCTCTGCCCTTCTCCCCTGCTCCAGCTCTCTCTCTCTCAAAGTAATTTTTAAAAATATATTCATCCTTACTGTGTCCATTTTATTTTTATTTATTTATTTATTTATTTTTAACGTTTATTTATTTTTTGGGGACAGAAAGAGACAGAGCATGAACGGGGGAGGGGCAGAGAGAGAGGGAGACACAGAATCAGAAACAGGCTCCAGGCTCTGAGCCATCAGCCCAGAGCCCGACGCGGGGCTCGAACTCACGGACCGCGAGATCGTGACCTGGCTGAGGTCGGACGCTTAACTGACTGCGCCACCCAGGCGCCCCCTTACTGTGTCCATTTTATAGACGAGGAAGTGACAGCTCAGAGAGGTCACAGGGCTTATCCAAGGTCACACAGCCGACTGGGACAGAGGCAAATGTGGAAACCAATGTCCTGACTGTGGTGGGCGGAGGTCCTTTCACTGCACGTCTCCAAGGTGTTTGCCCAGAGCCAGTCTCTCCTGGTGTCTCTAATCCCTCCCTAATCTTGACTTTGTGTGCAAGGCTGGTGACACCTCTCAATATTGCCCGTGTCACCGTCCCCTCCCGTGAGCGCCTGTTGGCTCTCGGTGTATTAATAGACTGCACTTGTGCCTCTCGTCCGGGTGGGCCTGTCTAATCACTTCACGAACGCCTGCCGTCTCTGTCAGAGCTGTCCTCAGTGCAGAGTGGCCTCATGGAGCCTGACAAAGTGATTCATTCAGTGGGCTTTTGTTTCCCAGACTACAAATGACAGGTTATATGCAGAGGACCCTTCTTCCCAAGGATAATTCCAGTTCAGTAAGCCCTTGGCCTTGTGGGAGCTGCCATGCGGGGTAGGCCTTTTGCCCCTCCCTCTGTGCTAGATTCTGGGGCCACAGGCCTGACCTTGGGGAGCTCACAGGTTGTTGGAGGAGGACAGCACACACCTATATATAATCTGCCCTTTACCGCAGTTCGCCTGTGTTCCCTCTGTTCTCTTTGTGTGTGTCTGCCTTAGCCCTCTGAGACCCAGATGTGTCTATGGAGAACAGTCAGCCAGCCATATGGACACATTCGTTTCTTGTTGATAGCAGGATGGCCCCCATCTGGACGTCCGGCAACATCCAGATGGACACGCTACCCATCGATCCTGCCACCTACAGTGATAGAAGGTGGCAGAGCCTCAGGGCCTACAGGCTCTCTCCACTTACAGATGGAAAAGTGGGGAGCCCAGAACCTGGACAGCAAGGACCAGGAAGGGAGCGCTACGTGGGGGGTGTGGCAGGGGAAGGAGGGTCTGTGTATGCATTCGAGTGTTGGGGTTAGGGGCTGGCAGCTAGAGGAACTCTGATCCTGAAACTGAATTCTCCTGACTTCACAGAACTGCCCAAGTCTGGGTCTGAAGACTGGAGCCCGAGCTTCGGGGTGGGGCGCGGTCTCCCCCGGCCTTTGATTCACTGCCACTCCGGAACCGGTCTCCTTCCCGGCAAACAAAACCTCTGCGATCTCTGATTCTGCAGCGCCCTCCAGTGGGTAACGGGAGTATGTCTGCAGAGAAAGTCTTAGGACTCCACGTGGTAGGTCATTACTGGATTTTAGAATCTATATGCAAGTTCCTCCACCTGCTCCCCGCCCTCTGCCTGAGAGAAAATTCTAAAAGGACAGTTGGCTGTTTGTATGGAGGAGTGGAGAAGGGAAAGTCCCATGCTAAACAGACTCTGCTGTGCCAATTTTCCAAATGACTTTGGTCCATTCTTCTTTCATCCCCCAGCCCTAAGTCAGGACACCCTCTTAGTTAACTTCTAACTCCAGATAGTGCCCGTTTCCCCCCCAAGCCTTCGCAAGTTTGATGAAACTTGGGGGGGAAACCCTAAACCAGCAGGGGGAAATGGGTTCCAAGACTGTGCGACCTCAGTGAAATAACACAACTCCTCCAGATCCGAGTTTCTCCGTGTGAGCTGTGTGTGTACCCCAAGCGTGTTGGAAATTAAACCTGGCCACATGTGGAGGGGCCCCCAACACCAGGTCTCCCAGCTGTGGGGGCTCCCAGCCAGAGAGGGGCTCAGTGAGGCTCCCCTCCTCCCCACCTTCCCTCCCAATGCGGTTGCCTTCCTTCCCTGCAGGTGCTTGGTCCCTCCTCCTCGCCTCCTCTTCCTCTTGTGCCTCCTGCCTCCTGCTTCCGGGGTCATACCCCTCACCTCCTGTCTGCCTCAGTCCGGAGCATACTGCCCTCTCCCCCAGTGGGCCCTTCAACTCCTTCAGCCACCATCCCCTTCTCTTGTGGCTGCTTTGTGAAGAGAACTTTTCCCACCTGCTTTGTTTCCTTGTCACCCATGTGATGCCTCCATCGTCCTCTCCGCTCAGCTGCTGCACAACCCACCCCCCCACCTGTGTCCCAGCTCCCTCCCTGGATGCCCAGACCTTTTATAAGGGGTGTCATCATCGTCACGGGTGTCACCCAGCTCCTTTACCTGTTCTCCCTCGGGGTCTTCCGACCCACACGAAAGAAAAGCACTTTCCATGGGAACGTGCCGGACCCCTGGAAGGCAGCTCTGGGGAGGAGGGTTTTAGGCTCTCACTGAAGGGAGAGAACTAGAAGGGCAGGCCGCAACACGGAGGACTCCCAGGAACTGTGTGGTTCACGGGGGCTTGCTGTGCGGGGCAGGCGGAAAACAGCTCAGATCCGAGGAGGTGAGGCCAGCCCACCTTCCCTTGCCCTCAGCCCAGGGCCTCCCTTCCACAAAGTGTCTTCTAGGAGAACTTTGGCATTTGCTGTTTCTGTCAGGTACTGTGGCCACACAGTGACAGAAGGGGCCACGAGAAGATGCCGAGATAAAGAGACGGGCAGGGAGGGAAGACACGTGTCCTGAGTACGGACGGTACAGATGGTGATGTCTCCTCTTACTCTCACAGCAACTGTGACCGGGGGCGCCATTTTTCAGATGAAGAATCCGACTCAGAGGGGTTCCCAGGGCTACACCGCTAGGCCATGTCTGAACTGAGCTTCTGGGAGCCACCTACCCAGTGTCCAGGCACACAGCCTTGCCATGTCCCCCGCCCCCCCCCCCAGACTGTCACCTTGGTATTTCTCTAATGACTCCATGCATGGAGAGAAGGGAGAAACTGACATGTGGAACAAGGGAGGGGCACAGAGGGACACACGCAGGGGAGAGGTAGAGAGAGGCAGGGAGAGAAAGGCGGGGGATGGCAAAGGGACACAGATGGGGAGACAGTGACCTAGAGAGAAGTGGAAATAAGCTGCTTATCTCTTCCTAAGGGAATGAATGGATTTGTAATAAAATATGCCTTCCAGGTCTCATCCCCAGAACGTCGCAATCAGAATTTCTGGGAGTGGGGCCCAGGAGTCTGCGTGGAAAGAAAGCTCCTCTGAGCAGCAAAGCGTGCTTTGAAGTGCATCCGAAAGACAAGATGCATTGATGGGTGGAGACAGAACGGGGCAGACGGATAATATGCAGTAAAGCAAATACAGCGGCATGTTAACGGAGGAATCCAGCAAGTGGGTAACCCCATTCACTGTACGATCCGTTTAGCTGTCTGATGTTTGAAAATTTTCATAAGAAAATGTTGGGATAAGATCCTGAATGACTGTGCTGATTAGGCAGGTCTGGGACCACTGTTGTAGGGGAAGGCTTCCTCCAAGGACTTTGGGAGGAGCAGTCGCCTGGCAAGCGCCCTCTGCACCCCTCTCCGTGGCGCCTTGGGTCTGATCAGTTTCTCAGCAATCCCAGAATACACAGAGGCCCCCGCGCAGGCCACTGCCCTGTCCCCTGGGTCCTGAAGGAAGTCCATCTGCCCCTGGGCCCTCCTGTGCCGGGTGTGGAGCAGGACTAGGCAGGCCCTCTGAGGCTGGCCCCTGCGGGGCACAGAAGCAATGTGATCAAATCGGCTGGCAGGGTGGGTTTGGCAGAGGTGAGGCTAGAAGTTCTCTTGGAAGAATCTGAAGCTGAAGTGCTCACAATGGCCCTTGAGCACCTTGGCCAGAGCTGGGGAGCCACAGAAGAAGACCTGCACCTTGCCCTTCTTCTCAGCAGCCACTTTCTGGAACACCTGGAGCCCACACGGGGTTAGGAGAGAGGGAGGGGGAGTAGGCCTGTGGACCTGCTCAGGTACCCACCCACCTGGAGCTGACAACATAATGGGGGGGGGGCGGGATGGCCTCTGTCCCCACGAGGAAATCCAAGGCACAGCCACGTGGCTTCAGAGCAGAGTCCAACGTGCAGCCATTAATTTGGGGCCATTTGCTCACCCCCCAGCCTGACCCAGACCCCAGGAAGGGGCTGGGCCGGAACGACCCAGTTCTTCCACTCCCAGAGCGTGCCTGTGGGGAGACTGCAGGGCAGGGACTGGAGGGCAATCCCAGAGCATGCTGAACCCCGACTGCTCAGACCTCACACTAGTCCTCCCCCGGGTCACATGCCTCCATTGAAATGTCTCTTTCCTAAAGTCCAGCTTTTCCCCCAGTGAGGACGCTTCCCCACCCCACGTTCTGCTTAAGGAGGCCACTGCTGAAAGTCCTTTTTGGTGGCCAACCAACGGCAGCGTCCTGCTCCCTCACTGGGGACAACTGTCTCCAGCACTTTGAAAGGCAGTGCCTTCTGGCACCTCATGCAAACTCTGCACCTGATTGGGAAGTACTCAGCAGGAAAAATGATCTGAAAACCAATCTGAGAAATCAAATAGAAAGACCGTAAATTTCTGTGCCTTTGGGTCTCAGTCTTTTCCATTTGTACCAGAAACAATAAGACATGGTGCTACTTCCCCAAGACCCTTGTCTTCTCAGGCCTTCTGAGCCTCCCTTCATAGGGAGTTAGGGCTGGGGGAGGCCTAGGAGGTCATATAGGCTAACGTCTCTGAACGGATGGGGTAAGTGAGGCCAATAATACGACAAGGTAAGCTAGTGATGGCACCAGAACGTAGGTCCCCTGCCTCCCTTTGTGGCTCTGGGATCCCGGTTGGACTCTGAATGCTGGCCTCATGCTTGGTCCCTAGCTTCCTGGCCCTAATCTCCCAGCCACTGTCTTAGGCTCTCAGCCCCACTGGGCCCTGCAGGCTGTGGGGCCCTCGCTGGCCTTTACCTTCCTCCAGTCAGGCCGCCCAGGCTGGGTGCGTGTCTGGAGGCCCGTGATGGAGTCCTTCTTCTCCTTCTTGGCCAGGAGGTCGAGGGCCATCTGCAGGCCAATGGCCTTCATGTCATTCTTGCCCAGTGCAGAGGTCATGTACATATGCAGCTCCAGGAAGGGGCCTGTGTGGCGAGGGGAGAAGGTGGCACTGAGGAGCTCGCGCCCGTGATGAGGACAGGGTAGGATGCCAGCCCCTAGTCCTGGGGCTTGGATAGAGACCAAGAGTGCTCTGAACTCACACCTTCAGCCCACTGCGCTCGCCCATGACCTCCAAGGGACCAGCGCTTTAGAAAGGAAAGGTGGTCCACTGCTGGAGTGGAGCCTACTCTGTGCATGGCATACACAAGTGACTGTCCATCCACTCTCTGATGTGCGCCCCACAGCCACCCCAGGAGTAGACGGGGAAATGAATCCCAGGACAGCACAACACAGCAGTCCTTGGGCTCTGAGCTCATGCCCTTTCCTGCCTCATGGTGTCTGCTCAGTCTGCTTGGGGACACAGGCCAGGCACACCTGGAAATGTAACTGAGAACAAAAGGTCAAGGGTTATATGAGTGGCAAATGCTACTGGTCTACAGGAAATGGATGGGGCAGACTGAGCCGCTTCCTGAGAGGGCTGGGCAGGGCGGTGGGGGGCTGGGATAGGTCTTGAGAGAGGACCAAGATTCCAAGGTGGGGGGAGGGGATGAATAGAGGGCATCCTAAGAAGGGGGACCAGGTGAACCGAGGATGAGAGGCCCGAACAGATGTGGTGTTTGTGGGGCATGATGTGACTGCCTGCCTGGAACACAGGATCCTTGAATGGGAGCAAACGCGAGATGGGACTGGGCACCCACTGAGACCAGAACGTGAAGGGGCTTGAATTCCCAGCCAGCAAAAGGGGGAAGGGAGTGGGTGTTGGAGCAGGGCATGATGGGATGAGAACAGCACCCCAGAAAGGGGAGCCAGAGGACAGGAGGGACAGGGCAGAGTTTGGCCTGGACCTGCCTGGACACTGGTGAGTGCCCACAGCTCAGTGCCTGCAACAGGACAGGTTTGCTGAGACACCGATCCCTTGAGCTCTCAGGGCAACTGGAGCTCCCTGGTGGGCACCTCTGGGCTCAAGCACCTTCCTCCGTTTCCCCTGACATGGCATACAACTGTTCTCGTTTCCCAAGAGTGCCACGATGGGGAAAAGGCTGGCGAATGATGCCTTCCACCTGTGCGTTAGTCCAAGCTAATGACAGGCCCCGATTTAGGACGCTGGGTCCATAAGCTGATGATCACTTCATCCTTCTCTCCCAAGACTAAAGGATTCACGCCATGCCGGCTGGCTCTCTACTGTCTTGCGAGATATACCATTAGCCTGCTTTTCCTTCGGCTCAAGGTCTCAGTCACTGTTAAAATGCAAATGGCCCTAGGAGAGATTCCACATTTTATTTCACATATCACTCCAGTTGAGTAGGGCTGGGTGGTGTGGGAGGGAAGAAGATGTACCATAGGGGACGCTCATCTGAGAGAGCCCCGACCCTTCTTCCCCCCTCCCTGAGACTCCCCATCCCCCTGCGAGGGGTAAGGGGGAGCGACACCACGGTGGGAGGGAGAAGAAGGGGCTCTGGAGAATGACCTGACATGGTTTTCATCCTCTCCAAACAGTCGTGTGGGAGACAGTCAGTCCGTTTCTGGGATACTCTCTTAAGGAAAGACTTGAACTATGTGCACATACATATTAATTGCAGCTATATATATATACACACACACACACACACACACACACACACACATATATACATATACATATATACATATATATGTATATATGTGTGTGTGTGTGTGTGTGTGTATATATATATATAGTGGAGCATCAGGAATAAATATAGTGTCTAGTAGTCGAAGCATGGCAAACCGTTAACTGGATCATTCATTACACAGCCATTAAATGCTGCTGTTAGTGGTGACGCTGAGGCTTTTCTTTCCAGGAGGTAACTTTACTCGTGCCGGCACAGCTCACTTGGGTTTGCACCTGAGCCCCGAACGCCATGGGGCGTGGTTTTTTATGTACTTGCTACTTCTTTGTCTCCCGTATCTGGTAACGTACAAACGCGCAGTCTGATTAAGTGGTCTCAGGTTACAAGGTCATGAGGGATGTCACGTATGCACATAGCCAGCTTGGCCCGAGTTTTCCTTTTTTATCCTCCCAGCAGCCCTATGGGGTAGGCGCTAGTTGTATCCATGTTTTTTTTTTTTGTTTTTTGTTTTTCACATGAGAAAAGTAAGCAAGGCAATACTATGCCCAGGTTTCTACAGCGATTACAGGATAGAATAAAAATTAAACCCAAACAGAATGTTCGAAGCCGAAGCTACAGAAACTGAACACGATGAACCACAAATTCTAGGACTCAAACCTTGGTAAATAATTAAAGACGAAATCAGAAGTCGCGGGCTTCAGCTGCCGTTAATGAGAAGCCTTGGAAGAAATGTGAGGTAATAAAGTTGTTGACTCAAGGGGCTTCGAGAACGCAAAGCACCAGGTTGGCTGTTACCCTTTGTTTATACAGATTACGAAGAAGCAAACGGCAAATATTTATATACCAGTAACCAGGAAACTTAAATGAAATCTAAACTTTCCCCCTAGCTCGTCATCATAAAAGTGAGTTTCTAATGAATTAATATACATAAAAGCATTTAGAGCAAAGTCGAGGCTCTATAAATATTTGCTATAATTGTTATTTACAAGAAAGAGCGAAGAGCTTTACTGTAACATTCTAAAGTTTGCCGATTCCATGGCAAACACTGTTGACTTGTGCTTTATGGCTTTGAATATTTGTTGCAGTAAGCTTCGTCTGTTTAAACATTTCTTATAGAAAACTGCATCTGAGTACTTGAACTTATAAACCGTTTTTCATAGGAATTTGAATTTGCTCATGGCAGCTCTAGGATAATTAAACAGCCAAATAAAATCTGGTTCCACTGACCTCAACCAGTGTAAGAAAAACCCGCCAGTTTTCTAAAGTTAGAAACATATCTAAAGGTATTCCTCCTCATGTTAGTTATTCCATAAGGAAAACGAAACCGTCAGGCTTTGCACTGACAGCGCGGAGCCTGCTTGGGATTCTCTTTCTCTCCCTCTCTCTCTGCCCCTACCCCGTTCACGCTCTCTCTTTCTCAAAATAAACAAACAAACATACAAATATATACCTTTTAAAAATATAAGAAAATATATCAGGGGGTCCTTTTTAAATTTTTCTAAATATATTTTTTTAATGTTTATTTTTGAGAGAGAGAGAGACAGACCGAACGCGAGTGGGGGAGGGGCAGGGAGAGGGAGACACAGAATCTGAAGCAGGCTCCAGGCTCTGAGCTTGAACCCCCGAACCATGAGATCATGACCTGAGCCAAAGTCGGACGCTTAAGGACTGAGCCACCCAGGCGCCCCAGGAGGTCCTTTTTTTAAAGACCGTTTGCATAGCCTGATGGGATTATGAATACATTTTTCTCCTCTTTTTTTGGTTTCACAAATGTTACATTTTAGTCGGGGGGGGGGGAGTCATCCTCCCCCATTCTCCCCCATTTTGCATAGAAATGGAATAATCTAGACACGCTCTTAAAAAGACCCTGAGCCTGAACCGCCACCCTGCTGCCACGCTCCTCAGCCCCGTCCTTCTCCTACCCTCTCGTGTCTCCTCGGCCTGGTCCAGCTCCAGTTTGGTCAGCAGGCTCACAAACCACTCGAAAGACCGCTGGTCTCGATTGATCCAGATGAAGTCCACCTAGGGGGAGGGGCCCTTCTGCTCAGAGCTGGTGCTGCCTTGCTCACAGCACGCTCACACCTGTGGTCCCCACCGCGGGATGACCACCTGGGGGTCAGCAGGGCACACATTATCACCCCCATTTAATGGAGGGGGAAACTGAGGCTTGCAGAGGTAGGAACCTTGCCCAGGTCACAGGGCAGCGTGGGATCAGGACCCAGGTTCCTGACTGCCGGCTTGGGGTTTTCTGTAATGATCTATTTGTTTATAGCAAGCAGGGTTCTGAAATAGGAAGCTTAGGAAGAAGCCAACAGAACATTAGTTAATTATTTTTTAGAAACTCTTTTCAGTGGTCTATAGAAAATAATGAATTTTCAAAAGGCAAACGTTTTCATTTTTAAAATCACCACCAGGCAATGGTAAACACATCATGGCTGTAACTGGATCCCAGGTGCCTGACTTTCGGGCTCCCAGGTCTTTAGTGGGATTCCATCTTCAGGGCCCGCAATGCCTCTCAGAAGTGACAGGGGAAGGCCTGGACGCTCGGGAGGCACCATAGGGAACAGTGGATCCAAGCAGGGGAGAGAGCCATCTGTCCCTTCCCCTCATCTGCAGCAGAAAGCCCACTGTGGTTCAGGGAGGTTTCCGGGAGACAGGGCCCAGAGGCCTGCCTGGAGGAGGTGGCGCTCACCTTGTGGAGCTTCATGTCCTCATCCTGGACGTCGTCCATCCAGGAGTGCTGGCAGCTGGGGCAGATGTGCTTCCTCTTCTGGTGCCTGGGGGGAGGTGATGAGGGATTTTGAATTTGGGGTGAGTATAAGACTTCTCAGGACCCCAAAGAACAGTGCAGGGGGCAGGGGAAAAGGGTGGGGTGGCAGGGCCCAGCCTGTGAAGAAGCGGAGGGATGAGAGCCAAAAGAGAGAGGGAGGGGGAGCAGGGGAGGAAAGAGAAAAAAGGGTGAAAGGAGATGAGGGAGCGGAAGGGGGAGGGAAGAGAGGAGAGAGGAGAGTGTCTCTGGACTCTGTCCCGGGATGCGGCCCACCCGCCCACCTGTACATGATGCTCTGCAGGATGGAAGCGAAGGGGGTGATGCCGATGCCTGCTCCGATGAGCACCGCATGCTCAGAGGCAAAGATCCTGCGGGTGGGGGTTCCGTAAGGGCCGTCGATATAGCACTGTGAACAAACAGGAGGGCGTTCGAGGGGAGGGCTGGAGGCATGGGGGAGAGCTGAACCCCAAGGCTTCAGCATCTCCCTTTTACATGCAGGCAGTCACCTCCCGGGCTGGAGCCCCGATCTAAGTGGCTCCCACTGCACTGCCTGGAGCCCAAATCGGGGAGAGCCCTGGAATATTAGAAGGCAGAACTGGTGAGAGTGGGACCCAGCCAGCATCCCTGTGTGCACCTGCAAGGGGACGGGTTCGATCCCCTTCTCTGGATACCGGGAAGTCAGGCCCTGGGGACTGGAGGGACTGGGGTACCCGGGGCCACGGCAAGCCCTCCCTGCAGGCAGAGGCTTCATATTCTCTGGTTGCGGCAGGGATTCTCGGTCATGTCCACCTGCTGGAGCCTCCTACCTTGATGTTGCAAAACAGATGGTTCTCAGAGGACATCTCGGAGACCTGCGATGAGCAGAGAGTTGTGGGTCTCTGGGAGTGGAGGGGTCAGGCAATTCTCAGAGGCATCCTGGCCTCTGCCAGTCTGGGCACCTTCACAAAAGGGGAATTGCTTTTTCTGCCCCAAGCATGGCAGGGAGCATGGAGTGTGCCGGTAACCCGGCTCTTCAGGAAAAGAAAACAACAACACGCTCCTGACTGGTAGCGTCTGGAGATTTCTGGTAGAAACACTGCCATCACGGCGGCCACCATCATGACTGTGTCTAAGGACCGGCTCTCAAAGCTCCTGAAAATCTAACAGCTGGCTCTTGTGATCCAATACAAATCAGCTCCAGTGGGTGACTGGAGAACACTCCCTCCCCCTATCTCCAGCCACTACTATACCTTTCGCGTCTCCAAACACACCCCCTGGCCTTGACCATTCTTTTCCCTCAGCTGAGAACAACACCCTTTCCTCTTCCCCAGCTGGCAAATTCCTATGCATCTTCCAGAGTCCAGCTCATCTAAAGTAGCTGCTCCTTCTTGAAGTTCTGCCCGGCTTCGCCAGGCAGAAAAGCCAGTGGCTGGCCTGGCTCATGGCTCCACTCTGCCCTTGGGACCCTGTCCTGGGCTTGCTGATGGGAGCCACTGGGGGCAGGGAGGAGGCCTCTTCTGTCTGCTCTGCCTGATTCCTCCAGGCCTGAGCACATGACAGACCGGATTTGGGAGGTCAGCGCACTTCCTCCCACAAGGTGAAGGAAGTAGAACCCCCCCACCCCCCCACCCCAAAACAGGCTATAGGGGCCTGTGATAGTTCCCTGTCTGCTGCTGGAGGGCAGAGTTAGGAGTGACCTTCACAATTACCCAGAGCAGTCCCTCACTTGACAGAAAAGGAGCCCAGTCTAAGAGTGGGAACAAGCTCAGGGGAGAGCCTGGGTCTCCTGCTGACCGTCCAGTGCCCGTCACACTACAGCATGCTGCTTCTTTGTCCGGGGGCCACTGAATGCTGTGTCCCCCACGGTGTCAGACTTCAACTACTTGTGTAGGAGGTACCCTGGACAAGGGCTACTCTCCTTTCCGTGGTCTTTAAACCTTCCAATTGCAAGGAGAAAGCCCACATCACGCTTAGTAATCTTTAACGTGCTACGCTTACCAAGCCCACCTCTTTCTTTTTCTTGTACTAAAGCAAGAAAGAGAAAGAGCATGAGAGAGAGAGAGAGAGAGAGAAGGAGAAGGAGCAGCAGAGTGTGGCTTCAGGCTCAGAGCGTCAGCAGGCAGGAACATCTGGCCAGAATTGATTAAGATTGGCTTTTATTGATTTTACTTTTTTTTTCCTAATTTTTTTTCCCCCTTAATGTTTTTGTTTTTTTGAGAGAGACAACAGAGTGTGAGTGGGGAAGGGGCAGAGAGAGGGAGACACAGAATCCGAAGCAGGCTCCAGGCTCTGAGCTGTCAGCACAGAGGCCGTCGCGGGGCTCAAACCCACGAACTGTGAGATCATACCTGAGATGAAGTCGGACGCTCAACCGACTGAGCCACCCAGGCGCTCCTTGATTTTACTTTGAGAGTTACCTTCTGATTAGGGCACACGATACTAGTTTACCATTCAAGATAGCAATCTACAGCGTCCTTTTAAATGCAAGTAAGTTTATAGGGACACCTGGGTGGCTCAGTTGGTTAAGCGTCCTACTTCAGCTCAGGTCATGATCTCACCACTTGTGGGTGCGAGCCCCGCGTCGGGCTCTGTGCTGACAGCTCAGAGCCTGGAGCCTGCTTCGGATTCTGTGTCTCCCTCTCTCTGACCCTCCCCTGATCACACTCAGTCTCTCTCTCCCTCAAAACTAAATAAACATTAAAGAAAAAAATTTTTTTTAAATACAAGTAAGTTTAAAGTCATGTTGGGGTGTGAGGAGAGAGACCAGGTAGGAAATATTCCCAGTGAGGAGCAAACATGGCAGAAGTTAGGAAGGCAGTGTGCACATGCCTGGCTGCAGGAGCACCACATAATATGCACGGCTTCGTGCGTGTGGCTGCCCTTAAGGACCTCTCTCCTGAGTCCCATGGATCCACCACCCCTGGGGACACAAAGGCCGGCTCTCCCGCCTCCAGCCCCAGCTTCCTGAGCCTTACCAGACCCCACTCAGACGTGGTTCTCCGCTGTGCCTGAGCCGATTCCTCTGTCCCTGTGGGCACCGGGCCTGGGTCCCCATGCTGTGGAGTCCCCCTGGGCCTGTAGGATGTCAGCTCCACGATGACATCCTTGCTGGAGGCCACGGCTCCCTGCACCGCGGCTCCGGACTGGACGGGCTGGCACTGAAAACTCTGTTTGGTTTCGAAGTGGAAATGGCTTTATTATTTAAATCATGAAACTAGGGTGCCTGGGTGGCTCAGGTGGTTGAGCATCCAACTCTTGATTTCGGCTCAGATCATGATCTCGTGGGTTCGTGAGTTCGAGCCCCACGTCAGGCTCTGTGCTGACAGTGTGGAGGCTGCTTGGGATTCTCTTGCCCTCTCTCTCTGCCCCTCCCCTGCTCAAGCTCTTTCTCTCAAAATAAATAAACATTTAAAAAAATTTAAATCATGAAATCAATACATGTTAGTTTTTAAAGATTCACATGTTACAGAACTATAAAGAATAAGGTGAAAAAGTACCCTGAATAAAGTGGAATCACTTCTCTAAACACTTTTTTCTATGTCCTTCCAGACTTTTACTCTCTCTCTCTCTTTTACATAAATGAAACATATTGCTTTGTAACCTGCCTTTTCCACTCACTACATCTTGACTAGCTTTCCATGCTAATGCATATACATTTACATAATCTTTTTTAAGGAACTTACTATTCCGTGATAAGGGTGATCAGTAATTTATTTAGCTACATCCCTAGTGTTGGACAATTTTGATTATCCCCATTTTCTCATTAGTGTTAATTAACAACCACCATATAGAAGATAACATCTTTCCCATCTCTATCCCTTTACCCTGATTTATTTTTCTTCATGGCACGTATTATCACCTGACACATTATGTCTGTATTTTGTTTGTTTATTGTCTACCTCTCCCTCTGGAATGGAAGCAGGCACTGCATCGCTGTTGCTTACGGATTTATCTCCAGCATCTAGAATAGCACTTGGAAAACAGTAGGTGCTGTGCTCAGTAAATATTTGCTAAATGAATGAAGGAACAAGGTGATTAATGTACTTCCTGTGCAGCTACCCAATTAGCTTTTTAGGACAAATCCCTAAAAATGGAATGGCTGGGCCTGTGGGTACACATATTTAAAATGTTGACGCATGTGGCCAGACTGCCTGCCAGAAAGATTATGCCAATCTATTCTATGGCGGTGGTACCTTAAGGTCCTAAAGAAACACAGTCTTTAAGTATCTACCCACAGATTCCTGGTGTGCATGACTCTCCCGGTTTTCAAAGCCAGCTTCCTCCTTCAGAAAGGTTCCCCTGATTAAGACCAGAGAACGTTCTGCTTGTTTCTACTGACCCCTTCATCTTTCTAGAGGGCTTCGTGATCTGGCCTGGCAGGATTCCGCCTGGTTTTTCTCCCCTCGGAGTTTAAATTCCACAGGGGCACGACAGGGCTGAGCCAGGCCCGGGGCTGCTTTTCCTTTGACCTTCAGCAGGGGCTTCCCCACATTAACATGTCTCCCAACTGAGCCGTACAGCCTACTAGGTGTGGGTTCGGGCGCCTTAGCCTCCTTTGTCCGTTCTCACTGTCATCTCACTGCCCTCCTCCAAAACCTCCCCGAGTCAGTATTCGTTCCAGACACTGGCAACTTGTCAGCTTCGTGGGTTCATCAGGGCTCAAAAGATAACAGTGCTGCCGCTGATGCTGCTGACGCTGATGGTGAATGGTCCACGTGGACCGTGCTGTCCCGTTAGCTCAGGGCTTTCCCTGCATTCATTCCATCATTGGCCCTTAAAAAGCATCACGTGAGAAAGGGAGGCCAAGGACGGGAACCACCTGCAGTTAGTCCATTGATGACTAAGCTAAAGCTCGAGTAAGCGAAGGGACATACAAGGCCGTACAGTCACAAGGTGCTGGAGCAGGGACGTGGAGGCGGGGTTTTCCGATCTCAATCTCCCCTCTCTTTCCATTGTCCACCTGGCTTCTAACGGAGGACTTGGGACTCGGGAGGTCCTGGGGCGGGTGGGCTGTTGGATCACACTGTCCACAGTTGCCTCGCCCCCTGTGCTGCCGTCCAGCCAGTGTATACAGCCGTTGCTCAATGATTGATGTTCACCATTGAGAACATCAGCAACTCGGTCCCCACTGGGTTTGACTCCACAGTGGACCCTTCCTCCCCTGAAGCAACCTACCTGGGGCTTCCTCTGGCTCCTTCTCATCCTCAAACTCCTTGACAGCCGTTTGGAGTCCACAGGGTCTGATGTCTTGAAGGACTCATACAGCCTGTTTGTCCACTGCCCTTGGGACCGGACGTGTAGCCAGATGGTGTCTGAGCAAGAGACAGGGCAGGGGGAGAGGGGGTCAGCGCCGGCCTCCAGCAGGGAGCAGGCCCGTCTCACCTGAGGGACTGGGGCTGGGCATCTACTGCTCAAGCTCCAGACTGAATGTCCTTCCGCAGGCCCAAACTAGCAGTCCCAGCCCTGGGACTTGGAAATCTCATCTTTCTGGTGCAGATATTGTAGTCTTCCTCCATGAAGTCAACTTAAGCCGTCTGCTTTGCCAAGACCAGGGTCAGAGCGGCCCTGAGCACGCTAGAAGCTCCTGCCTCCTTGATCAGGCCAGGGTCTCACCAAGGTGGCGACCACTCCCTCCCACATTCAACCAGGTGCTTGTCAACGGCTCTGCACGCAGTAGGTGTTCAGCCTGTGGCACGAACAATGGCTTTCATTGTGCCCAGTACCTGGGATGTAGCTTCTCTGCTGAGGGGTGACCGGCAGAAAGGTGGTGTGGGTGGCCACCCCTCTGCTGAAGGGTACCAGAGAGAATCCACAACATTTGAACAAGGAGGACCCCCCCCCCAAGAGATCTCATGCTCAGGCATTCTTACCCTTTAAACAATCTCTTTAAACCATGGGGGCGCCTGGGTGGCTCAGTGGGTTAAGCGTCCGATTTGATTTCAGCTCAGGTCATGATCTCACTGTTCATGAGTTTGAGCCCCACATCGGGCTCTGTGCTGACCCTGCAGAGACTGCTTGGGATTCTCTCTCTCTCTCCCTCTCTCTCTTGCTTGCACTTTCTCTGTCTCTCTCAAAATAAAGAAATAAACTTAAAAAACATTTTAAACCATGGACTCTCTTGGCAGTCCCGTGGATATAACGGAGAGACTCCTTCTCAGAGCAAGGTTTTTTATTTTTTTTTTTTAATTTTTTTTCAACATTTATTTATTTTTGGGACAGAGAGAGACAGAGCATGAACAGGGGAGGGGCAGAGAGAGAGAGGGAGACACAGAATCGGAAACAGGCTCCAGGCTCTGAGCCATCAGCCCAGAGCCCGACGCGGGGCTCGAACTCACGGACCGCGAGATCGTGACCTGGCTGAAGTTGGACGCTTAACCGACTGCACCACCCAGGCGCCCCAAGAGCAAGGTTTTTTAAATACACAAAGTCACACACATGGAAATCACAAATGAAACAGCATGTATTTGTTTGCCAAAAAACCAAAAAGCCAAAAAACAAGCACTCCCCCCCAAATGTGTGATTAAAGAATACGTCTGCTTCTTTGCCAACACAGGACTACGAGGTCCCACCAGAATTGCGTGGCCACAGAAACCTGAAGTCGTTGATGAGCATAAAGGATATCCCGAGGTGCCGGCAACCATGACAATGCGATCTCAAAGAACCTTGTGATTTTTATTTTGAAAGAGTCACAGGTATTGTTAATGCTTCTGTGGCTGGCTGTGGGCATTCACAATCGAAGAAGATGCTAAGGTTCAGTTAATTCCCCAAGGCTTCCTCTCCCTTGACCCTACAAGTGCCAGGGGGGCTGGGCTGTGACTTGTTTACACAACACACTCTGAGGCGCCCCACACAGTGAGTGCATGTGGGGGGGGGCCTCCCTAAACGCTGGGAGAATGCAATCAGTTACTACTGGCGACCTGAGTCCACTCCTGATTTCTGTGAGCCAGCTCCATAAACCAACTCGGAGTATGTACCAGCCCTCATACGGACTCACTCAGCCCACCACAGGAGGCTCAGGGCCCGAGAGACAGGCAGGTTCCAAGCAAACGCCCTGAAGAAACCCCATTTGAGAATCGGCCAAGTCAATGGCACACCCATCTAGTGCATGTGGTCATTTTAATCATACTGGTATCACTATACTGGAATACTATGCAGCCATGCAAAGGGAAGTTCTTATTTATTTATTTTTTTTGTATTTTTAAAAATGGTTATTTATTTATTAGAAAATTTTTTTAACATTTATTCATTTTTGAGAGACAGAGAAACAGAGCATGAGCCAGGGAGGGGGAGAGAGAGAGGGAGACACAGAATCCGAAGCAGGCTCCAGGCTCTGAGCTGTCAGCCCAGAGCCCGAGGCGGGTCTTGAACTCACGAACTGTGAGGTCATGACCTGAGCTGAAACTGGACACTCAACCGACTGGCCCACCCAGGCGCCCCTTAGAAAGTTTGTTGTTTTTTTTTTTAAAGAACTGACATGCAAAGACTTTTATGACATACTGCTCACAGAGAAAAGGCGGGCTGCAAAACAGTGTGAAGAGGCAAAACCATCTCTGCATCTATAGAACTACGTGGGTATATAAAGACAGATCTGGAAGACTGTTCACCAGAAGACTGACAAGGGCTTTCTCTGGATGGCACTGTTTGAGGGATTTTAATTTTCTTCTGTGCATATTCCTATACGGTGTGAATTTTCTGAGAGCAGATCTCTTCTGGAGAAACAGAACGGGAAAGAAAAATAGGGAGAAAAGAACCTTCCCCCTCCTGCCTCCGCCCCCACCTTTGCCCCGTTGTACGTCCGAGCCACCACTCAGGTGACTCCAGGGCAGGTGGTCCGTAGCCTCACATGAGGAACCCTTGCCTTGGGTCTGAACTGTGGGGGCTGGGCCACGGGTCCTGCTGGGCCGGCGCTGGGAGGCATCCTAAATGGAAGTGAAGTTTTTAATAGGGATGGGTCAGAGGAAACGGCCACCGGGACCCTTCATCCCTCATGAAGCCGAGCAAGGGTCAGGCGAGGCATTTGCCACCAGAATGACCACTTGAGGTGGAAAGGCCGACCTCTGGCCTAGGAAGAGGGCACAGGTCTGGGTGCCGGCTCAACAACCTTCTGGTCCAGGACCAGAAGGATGGCACGTACGCGGGTGGAGGCCAGAGGTCCACTGGGTGAAGGGAGGGTCAGCTGAGCAGTTCCACGGGCGTGCCAGTGGCTCGGAGAGAGATGGGAGTGGTCCGGGGATGGGGAAGAAGGATTGGAGGGATTCTGCTGCCTTGGGGCTCCACAGAGATGGGGGAAGCCTGGCTTCCCGCCACAGCGCCCTTGAGAACTCCCTGGCTCCTCTGAGTTCACTCCTCCTCTGCCTCAGACCCCTGCGGGCTCCCAAGTGCTGGCACCGGCCATCCCCATTCAGAGTCCCCCCTCGGGCCCACCCGGGCCCTAGCCAGCTTTGCCAGCCACCTCGTCTGCCTTTCACCTCTTCTCTGACCCTCTCTCCTGCCTCCCCGCCCTGTCCTTCCCTTCTTCCCTCCCCGCCCCACCCCCCCGATGTAGCGCCGACTACATTAAATTGCCCTGTGTTCCCAGCTTTCCATGTTGTTCCTTACGTCTTTTGCTCTGTCTCCTCCCTCATCTCCTTCTCTGTCTAGTAAGCTTCCTGGAGCTTTTGGAGGTTGACTTTGTGGCCCTGGCCTTGCTCACGTCCGGGTCCCCAGTTCCCAGCCCGCGCTTGGCACCAGGCAGAACTCGGTAAATGCCCGCCGAGCGAGCAGCGGGGCTGGCGTACCTTTCTGCTCTGGCGCGCTGCTGATGGTGAACGGGTGCCACTCGTAACGCGCAATGGTGGGGACGTTCAGATACAGGTAGTCGCCCGGCCTATAGTGGAACAGAGGGGGCCGCTTGATGAGCAGATGGGTGACCTGGGAAGAGAGGAAGATCGGGGTCATCCATGCAGGCTCAGGGGCCCCCGGGCAAGAGGGCAGAGGCTGGGTCATCCTCCTCTGTCACACACCAGGCCAGCCCTGGATGTGAGACCCTCCGGCCTGTGAGTGGGGCTTGGCCTGTGGCACCTCTGCCAGCCAGGCGGTAGGTGATGATCAGAGAAAGGGACAGTAGGGTTTGATCCTGGTTTGATCCCACTTCTTATGGGGTGAACACTGCTGGCAGTGGCCTTTCTCGGTGAAGCCCCCTGACTGCTGTAGCCCGTTTCTTGCAACTGCTGTAGTATTTGGCTGGCATCCAACCACTAATGGGCATCTCCCCCAGGAGAACAATATCCCCCTGGACAACAGCTTCTGTTTATTGGGCACCCACAGCGTGCCAGACCCGCGCGAGGCACTTAAAAGTGTCATCTCTGGTCCTCATGGCAGTTCTCTGAGACGGATGCCATTCTTTCTCCGCTTTACAGATGAGACGCTAAGGCTCAGAATGGTTAAGGAGTTTGCTCAAGGCCACCAGCTAGGAAACCACGGGATCCGCAGCTAATCACGGCGGAGGCTGTCCAGAGCTGAGCCACCGAGAACTGCCTTCCCTTTCTCCATAAATGGCCCGGTCACTCAGCCACCCAGGAGATGTCCTAGGCTCCTTCCTCTCCCCGCCCCCAAATGCAGCCAGTTACCTCTTGAGTCTTTCTGTGATATTCCACCCCTTTCCCATCCCACAGCCACTGCCCCTGTTTAGGGTCAAGGCCCTCATGAGCTCTCGTCTGCATATTGTGCAACAGCCCCCAAATGGTCCTCACTGGACCGTCTTCCACAGAGCCACTGCAGAAATCTAGCTGGAAAATAAACTGGCTTACTACCCCCATCCCCCTCCCCCTGATCAGGCGTTCCACCAGGCCCCGCCCACCCCTCTCCCTGGCACCTTGGCTGTAGCTGTGCTAAATTACCCATAGTCCCCAAGGACAGCACCCCTACCACAACTCGGTGCCTTTGCTCAGCCCGTTCCTTCTCCCAGGAGTACCCTTCCTTATCTTGTCTACGCAACAAACTCCTGCTCATGTCTCAAAACCCCGATGGGGCATCTCCTTCCGCATTCTGAAGCTTTCTCTGACCTCTCAAAGATAGTTTCCTACCTCCTGACACTCTGCTCTCACCCATACAGCCCTGCACTGTAACTAAAGGGCAAAGCAGGACAGTGCCCAAGCCGTCTTTGTGACCTGGCATAGGGCCTGGCAGTTTGCAGGCTCTTAAGACTGATCTTTCATGGTATCCTGCCTACCTGTCATGCCGCTTCCTAAAATGTCCCTCCTGAAGGCTAGACCAGATCCCACACTTTGCTTGTCTCCTCTGCTGTGCAGGGGCCATAGCTACGCTATTCCCTGCTTCCTTGCGGGTCTAGCAGGGTACCCAGCTGCTGCGCCCTACCATCCGCAACGCCCCTAGGCACCTCAGGCCCCCTTCACACCTTGGAGGGAAGGAGATTGACTTCCACGATGCACAGGGCTGCCATGTGGGACACTGCTAGCCCGATGGCCTTCTCCAGGAAGAACAAGATGCCAGGGACCAGAAGCCACTTCCAGAAGCTGGGCCCGTGCACAATGAGCAGGATCCACATGGGGAGGTAGCACAGATGAGTCCAATAGAACACCTGCAAGGGTGAGGAGGGAGGGGGCAGTAAGCTTCCAGAGCTCAAGTCCTGGGGGTGGAACAGGGAAGCCCCCAGAGCCTTGGTCATGCACTGCTCTCCTGGGGACAGGGGCTGGGGCTGGGAAGCTTTGGGGCTTATTTATTCTGGGCCGTTGGCCCAGGGATCGTATAAGGGTTCCTGGAGCTCACACCAAACATCCGAAACCTCTGCCTGGGGATGTTCTGGGCAGAGTGGAGTGCCCCCAAAGGGCTCATGAGCATCACGGTCCCCATCACATTGACCCTTTCTCAGGGGGACATGAAGACAGCCATTTCCTGAGCATGGAGAAGAAAAGGGCAGAGCACCGAGCTGGAATGCCTGCTCTACTACTGGCTGTGGGAGCGTGGGCTAGGAAATTACTTGTCTGAGCATCAGATTCCTTGTGGGTCAAGCGAAGATGCAGATTCCGACTTCAAAGGATTGCTGCTGGTGCTCTCTCTCTGTCTACCTGATGTGGTTTGGTTTGGGGCTCCAAACCAAATCTGTGACCTCCTGCGCAGAACTAACGCTCCTCCGTTGGAGCATCGACGTGCCAGGTGTATACTTAGCGGCTTCACATATAGTATCCCATTTAATTCCTAACATAAATTCATAGGTAGAGAATTATAGGGCCATTTTATAGATGGGGAAGCTGAGTGAGCCTGTGTCCCTTCCCCTTCCTAGCTTAATCCCATTAGGGCAGGGGGCATGCCAGCAAACAGGCAGAATCTTCCAGAGCAGAACATTTTTCGCTTTGCAGACATGAACTGCAGCCCAGGGGAAGAACCCAAGTCGCGGGCACATAACATGCAGAGCAGCCTGGGCACTTCCTGGGCTCTGGAGTAAGTGAGAGGGGACACGGCATGAAACGAAGTTGGGAGGCCAGCCTGGGAGAGCAAAGGGGCAAGGGCCTGGCACCTCAAAGTGGCCGCTCCTTCGGATGCAGGAGCTGGAGCAGACAAACATAAGCAGCAGCAAAAGCAGCAACGCCACTCCGGTCGGGGAGGCGGAGCCACGGACCCAGCCAATGCCGGGCCTCGTGGTGAGCAGCAGTTCCCAAAACCGGAAGGGGCTGGCCCCGGACTGAGCCTGGAGCGCTGGAGACAAGCACAAGACAAGTTGTTCCCTCTCCACCTTTCCCTTGGGGTCCCCACCCTTCCCCATCAGGCACCCATCCAGGCAGAGACCCCTTCTCCACCCACCGGGCATGCAGGGCACACAGGGCTGATAATGAGTGGTTTGTGGGTGGCCCACCGGGCTCCCGGCCCCCAGGCGACTCACCGAAGTTCGCAACGTGGGCCACGGTGTGCACAAGGGAGAGCCCAACCACCACCCAGCCCATGAGCTGGTGGAACTGGATGTTCTGGTCCAGCGGCAGGACCTGAGCCAGCCACGTGGCCCGCAGCCAAGTGAGGCAGCGTCTGAGCATCAGCACCTGGCCGGGCAAAGTGGCGGAGAGCCCCAGCTGGTGCGCTCGCGCGCGCTCGTTCTCTCTCTCTCTCTCTCTCTCTCTCTTTCTCTCTCTCGGCCCCGTTCTCTTTTCCCCGGCAGCCAACTCCCAGCCTCTTTCTGAGCTGTGTTTCCTGCACCGGCCGCTTCCCCATCTCCCCTGTCCCCAGGCCTTCACTGCCCCCCTAGGTCCACAGCTAGGGTGTCCAAAGCAGCGTCTCCAGAGTTGGGGCAGGAACAGAAAATGTTGCAGAATGACTGCTGGTATTACTTTGATCTAAACACAGGAGGAGTACATAAGCTTTTTGGTAACATTTAATATCTGTGTTGACATGGTGCCCTCATTTAGTCTTTACGTCAGACGTCACATGTTATGTCTAGTTCTCAAGGTGTCCTGGAGGAGAAAGACTGGCTTTTCCAAGGGGCTTTTGACAAGGGCTCCCTCCTTGCTCATTTGCTTTCAATGTACGTGTGCCCAGATATGTGGTCTTGTAGATTACATTGTCTGATTCTAACAAAGCTAAAGTACCTCTCACAGAAAGGACAAGTAGCTTAAAAAGATTCCCTGCAGAGAAAGTGCTGATTGAAAGCAATGTTAATAATGCAAGAGCAAGTGACCAAGAAAATAAGTCATGGGTCTCCAACTCCCACACATAGCCAGTTCTGAGGATAAAAATAAAACCCACGGGGCACCTGGGTGGCTCAGTTGTTGAGCATCCGACTCTTGATTTCATCTCAGGTCATGAGCTCAACTGTTCAGTTGGGTTCGAGTGCCGAGTCGGGCTCTGCACTGGCAGCATAGAGCCTGCTTGGGATTCTCTCTCTTCCTCTCTCTCTGTCCCTCCCCTGCTCTCTCTCTCTCTCTCTCTCTCTCTCTCTCTCTCAAAATAAACATTAAAAAAAAAAACCCACATAAGAAGCTGATATTATCAAGAAGAGTATTTGAACTAAAGCTGTACATCCCTGATCATTAAGGATAACTCTTGCCATATAGTTAGTGTGCCGTAAGTCTAATAGCTAATGATAATAGGGCATGCACATAATTACAAGTAAATGAGCATGAATTGGGTTATTGGAAGGGATTTTTGTTTTAATTGTAGGAGCAGAATCGAAACCACTTGGAGACCTCACTCCCTGGCCCAGAGTATCATATTCTGACTCATTAGCCTGGCATTCAAGGGCTCTTACAGCGTGCTCTCTGCTTGGAGCCCTGCACAAGAGCCAGCCCCACCTCCTCCAGGGTCCACCATAAGGCTATTGTGAACATCAAACGGAAAGTGCTTAGCCCGGTGACTGTACAAAGTAAGTGCACAAAAATGCCAGCTGTGTTGGGCACCTGGGTGGCTCAGCCGGTTTGTGAGTTTGCCCCCCCCCCCGCCCCCTCCCTTAGCGTGTCAGTCTCTGTGCTGACAGCTCAGAGCCTAGAGCCTGCTTCGGATTCTGCATCTCCATCTCTCTCTGTCCCCTACCCCGCTCACGCTCTCTCTCTCTCCCTCTCGAGAACAAACTTAAAAAAAAATTTTTTTTTAATAAAATAAAAACGCCAGCTGTGTTTTACGTGCTGCGTGACTATGGACACGTCACTGCCCCTCTCTGGGCCTCATGTCCACCGCGTATTGCCCCAACTGACGTCTGAGGTGCCATCCTGCCCTGAGGCACCCCAGGTGTCCACCTGTCGGTCTATGAGGAACCTACATCATCAGTCCTCCCGCCCGCTTCCCTGCCCTGGGACGGCGGAGTGTTACCACGATGAAGCTGCAGTCAAAGTTGAGGCACTGGCCGCAGCCCTTGGCCACCATGACGCTGGCGCCCAGGGCCCGGTGCGCGCAGGCCGCCAGAGTGAAGAGCAGCACGTGGAGGCCCGCGTAGGCGGCCAGGCAGAGCAGGTGGCTGCGGTGGTTGTGCCAGTAGGCGGAGGTCAGAGGGCGAGGACGGCGACTGCGCGGCCGGGCGGCAGGGGGCGTCAGCCAGTGGGCGGCGCTGTGGGAAAGGGGCTCGGCTCAGGGGGACTCGGCCAGGCGGGCTGCGGCGGGCACCACCGAAGTCGGAACCTAGAGACCCCCCCCCCCCCCGACCCTTGTAACCGACCAAGTCTCTGGAGCCTCGTGGCAAGTGGGCCGGCTTCCCTTGACACCAGGAAACAGAGAGGTCAAGCGACTTGCTCACAGTCACACAGTTAGGTGAAGCCGAGATGGAACTCCCATCTGTCCGATGCCGCATCCACCATGGCTATTTTCAATACCTCCCTTACTTGCCAATTGGGGGGGCGGGGGGTAGGGGAAGGGAATCGAAAAGGATGGAAGAATCTGAGACGTGTTGTGGTGAATAACCCACAAGTAAGTTAATACACGAAAAGAATGAATTACAAAACCGGCACTTTTCAGAGCTCGGAGTCAAACTTGGTGTGTTGTTACACCACGTCTATTTTATTTCCTCCGCAGCCCTTACCAATTTAGTACTTCCCTAGTTTATGCATTTGTTTATTGGTATCAATTACATATAAATTAACGGTGCCTGCTCCATCAAATTGAATAAATGACTGCCTTTGCTAATTATTTGTGTGACCCCAGGTAAGTTACTTCAGGTGAGGTAACTAATTTCCTTTGGGACGTTGCTATAACATGCACTGGTATATTTGTATAAATGCCCAGCCCACAGTAGGTGCTTAATACTGTGAGGTTGATTCTGAAAAGACACTGTAGAAAACGGAGGCAAGACCATAGCTGCCCCGCAGTACAAGACCTTTGTCCCCTATGAAAAAGAGGGCAAAGGCCGGACTTGGAGGGGCTAGGCAGAATGCAGCTGGGCGGGGTTGGGCGAGCCGGGACTAGGCAGGGTGCGGAGTGGTGGGGCTGGGCAGGGTGCGGCGAGGTGGGACTGGACCATGGTGGGGCTGGGACTGGGCTGGGAAGGACCGGCCTGGGGCGGGGCGGGGGCGGGGGCGGGCAGGACTGGAGCGGGCCACGGGTGGGGCGGGCCTAGGCAGGTTGGGCTGGATTGGGGTGGAGCGGGGCTGGGCGGGGCTGGAGCTGGTCACCGGTGGGACGGGCCTGGGCGGGGTAGGGCGTGGTGGGGCTGGGCCCGGGCGGGGCTGGAGCGCGTCACCGGTAGGACGGGTCTGGGCGGGGTCGGGCGTGGCGGGGCGGGGCCGGAGCGCGGCTAGGGAGCGGCTGGAGTGGGGTTGGGCGGGGCTAGGCGGGGCCAGAGCGAGCTACCGGTGGGGCGGGCCTAGGCAGGGTGGGGCGGGGCGTGGCGGGGCTGAAGAGGGGGGGGGGGGGGTGTCACCGGTGGGCCGGGCCCGGGCGGGGCTAGAGCGGGGCTGGGCGGGGCTAGAGCGGGCCACCGGTGGGGCGGGCCTAGGCAGGGTAGGGCGTGGCGGGGCGGGGCTGGAGCGGGCCACCGATGGGGCGGGCCTAGGTAGGGTAGGGCGTGGTGGGGCGGGGCTGGGGTGGGCCTAGGGCGGGGCTGGAGCAGGATTGAGCCGGGCTGGCCGGGCTGGGGGCGGAGCTGAGGGATCCCCGGGGCGTCGGGCCCCTCTGCGCACCTGAAGGGTAACCGCTAAGCGGGCAGTGCCCACGCTGGAGACAGAGCCGCACCTGATGGTCAGGTTTTCCATGACCCCGGGGAAGCGCTGCAGCTCGTTCCGGAGCTCGTCGAAGGTGATGGCGCCGTTGTTGTCCTTGTCTGCCGACTCGAAGAGCGCCAGCGTCAGCTGGTCCAGTTTCTCGTCTGGCAGCGAGATGGCGCTCTCGCGCATGCACGATTGCAGCACGGTGCGCAGCTCATCCGCGTCGATGGAGCCGCTGCCTGTCCCAAGTGGGGATGAAGACGAGTGGGGGCCTGCCCGGGACCCCACTCTGTACCCGCAGACTCCCCTTCCCATACACAGCCATTGCATCGAGTGGCGAACGTTCCCTAATCGTCCACCTCCAGTTTTCTGCGAACCAACTCCCTTTCGGGGTATAGACCAGGCAATCAAAAAATACACAGTATCACCCTCCTCTCAGAAACCTTCTATGGCTCCCTACTGCCCAGTTCAGGACAAATAAACTCTTAGCCTCAGTGCATGTCTTTCTCGAGAATCTGCAGCCTCCTAAGTACTGAGCTTCCAAGACCATCTGCACAGAAGATGCGCTTGCTTGCTTAATTTGTAAGGATTACTCTGCTTAGAGTATTAATTATCTGGAAGCAAATTGTACGTGGGGTGGTGGTGAGGGAAAGTTCCCTGTTGCTCTCTCACTTGAAGCAGACCTTCCTCTTCCATGTTGTCCTGAGAGGCCACAGCTGGGCACTCAAGTCCAGTCACATGACTTTACATGAATATGGGTGACTGAGAGTGTGATGGGAAAAAGAAGCCAAATCTCTCCACCGCGATGAGAATTAGAGGCATATTTTTTTCTGTGTGTATTTCCATTCTTCATGAGCAGCGGGGCCTGTGATTAATGAGTTCTTGGCCTGGTGGGATGTAGACACGCTTGAGGTAGCTTTGGATTTCTGCCCCTTACTAACTGCTGGGGGGCTGTAAGTCCTTCTGAGTAGTGAAACTTACTTTGCTCATCTATAAAATGGGGATCATAATTCCTCCCTTTCAGAACTGGTTCAAGGATGAGAGATCATTATATAGCACTGCAGTATCTGGAAAAAAGTAGTTGCATATAAATGGAAAGTCTTTACTGGTATTGTGATCATCAGGAAGACCCAAAGCCAAAGTCTCAAATCACATGCCAGGGCAGAGTCTAAAGTACCCCTCTCCAATCACACTCCTGTCCCTGGCTTTCCTAGTCAAGAGCCACCATGCAACAGGTTTCTAACCACATCTGGAGCTCCAGTCCCTCCCCTGTCCCCTTCACACCCTGTCATCCATCCAACTTTATTCTCTCCTTGGCTAATTTCAAATCTAGGGTCCTCCTTCATAATTATTCTCAGACACACGTTCTTCTTCCTTGTCCTGCTGTCCTTCTATTCCAATGACCTAAAAATATCCCATCTCTGAGGGAATCTAGCCACCTGCTCTCTCCCTTCCTGCACCAGGGCAGCTAATAGGACACTCCCGAAGAAAAGCACCCAAGAGGGCAGGAAGCTTTATCCCCAGCCAGAGCAAGGCCTTCAACTTGCCCTGCAACCCTCTCCTGCTTCTCTAGTGTGGTCACTTTTCTGCTCTCTGCAAGGACCACTTCTCACCTCCATGGCCATCCAGTCCCTCGCTGGATCTCAGAGAAAGCAGAAGCCACTGGAAGGGAATGCCCTCTAGTTCCTGCCATAAAATCTCCTTCCACCTGCCCTGCCCTGCCTTCCTCCCCGCCACTGCCTGCTAGGAGAACGTGAGTGTGCCACTCCTCCCATCACAAACCGACCTCTCCATCTGAGGTCATCGGTAAACCTCAGGAGCGAGCAAAGCTTGATGCTCAGAAAGCAGTCAGTGAGGACTGTCCCATGGAGACTGGGTGGGGTCTGAGGAAGATGTTCAGGAAGTGGGTATGACCAACTGCCCACGTACTAGGGGAAGGGGGTCGATTTGGGGAATGGGTTCCAGGAATGAGGTCTGGCTAGATTGAATCAGGTGCAGCGGGGAGCTAGAGAAACCCCATAGGCCAGAGGGCCCTGCCCAGCAGCAGGCCCGCACCTAGGTTGAGCTTTTCAGGATGCAAATCCAGCCCAGTGACTTCCCTGCTCAACACTCTTCAATGACTCCCCGTTGCTAATTGTACTGAGACTCCAAACCTTGGCCACCGAGGCCCGCACAGTCTGGCCTCCCCAACCATCCCAGTCTCACTGGGTGCCTCTTTCTCACTGCAGTATCCCTTCCTCTGATGATTCCAGGCCTTCAGAGATGCTTGCTGCCACGGAGTTGCCAAATGTTTAAGTGTATTTTTTTTTCAAGTTTATTTATTTTATTTTCGAGAGAGACAGAGAAGACAAGCAGGGGAGGGGCAGAGAGAGAGAGAGAGAGAGAGAGAGAGAGAGAGAGAATACCAAGCAGGCGCCTCAGAGTTGCCAAAGATTTAAAAGCAGGATGTTCATGGGGGCGGCTCAGTCGGTTGAGCATCTGATGCTTGATTTTGGCTCAGGTCATGATCTCACAGTTTAAGTTTGAGTCCCACATCTGTCTCTGTTCTGACAGCATGGAGCCTGCTTGGGATTCTCTCTCTTCCCCTCTCTCTCTGCCCCTTCCCTGCTGGTGTTCTCTCTCTCTCTCTCAAAAATAAATAAATAAATAAATATTTTTTTAAAAAGTGGCGGGAAGGGGCAGACAAATTGTCCATTTTGGTAATGGAGTTTGAGTAAACAGTAACACATAGTGGCTGACACCTATAAAGGGTGTATCCTGTGCTGGGCACTGTTCTGAGTTTACACAAGTTAACTAATTTAATCCTATCAACCTCATGAGTACATACTGTTATTATAACCATTATTCTCATGTGATAGTTAAAAAAAACCCTGAAGCACAAAGAAGTTAAGTATCTTGCCCAAGGCTCACCATAATAATTATTTTTTTTTTTAATGTTTATTTATGTTTGAGAGAGAGAGATCAGCATGAGCAGGGGAGGGGCAGAGAGAGGGGGACAGAGGACTTGAAGCAGGCTCCGTGCCGACAGTAGAGAACCTGTTGTGGCGTCTGAACCCATGAACCGTGAGATCATGACCTGAGCCGAGGTCGAATGCTTAACCGACGGAGCCACCCAGGCGCCCCCACCATGATTATTAATAAGTGATGGAGCTGATTTTGAACTTAGGCAGCCTGACCTCCGAGTCAGAGATCTTAACTCCTAGACTCTGCTGCATGGGCCATACAGTGGAATATGATGTGGCCACAGGAAGTAATGCTGTAACCACACTAAGTTACCACTTAGTAGCCAGGGTGGCTACAATTAGAAAAACAACAACAACAACAACAACAACAACAACAGAAAGTAACGAGTGTGGGCAAGATGTGAACAAACTGGAGCCCTCGTGCATGGCTGGTGGGAATGTCATGCGTTACAACCTCTGTGGAAGACTATGGCGTTCCTCAAAAGACTAAAAATAGAACTACCATCTCATCCAGCAATTCTACTTCTGGGTCTATGCCCAAAAGGATGGAAAGCAGGGTCTCGAAGACCTATACCTGTATTCATAAGAGCATCATTCACAATAGTCGAGAGGTGGAAGAAACCCAAGGGTCCGCTGATGGATGTATAAACAAAACATGGTCTATCCATACAATGAAATATTGTCCAGCCTTAAAAAAGAATTAAGTCCTGTCACATAGAACAACATGGGTGAACCTTGAAGACATTATGCCTAGTGACATAAGCCAGTCACAGAAGGACAAGTATTCTATGATTCCACTCATATGAAATACCCTAGAATAGTCAAGTTCTTACAGACAGAAAGTAAAAGTGGTTTGCCAGGAGCTGGGGAGGGAGGAATAGAAGCTCGTGAGTGTTTAATGGGTATAGAGTTTGGGATGATGAAAAAGTTGTGAAGATGGGTGGTGGTAATGATCGTTCAACAAGGTGAATGCACTTAATGCTGTTGACCTGACATTTAAAAAATGGTGAAAGTGGGGGCGCCTGGGTGGCTCAGTCAGTTAAGCGTCAGACTTGGGCTCAGGTCATGATCTCACAGATCATGGGTTCGAGCCCCGCGTTTGGGCTCTGTGCTGACAGCTCAGAGCCTGGGGCCTGCTTTGGATTCTGTGTCTCTCTCTGTCTCTGCCCCTCCCCCCTTGCACTCTGTCTCTCTCTCTCTCTCTCTCTCAAAAATAAATAAAAACATTTTTAAAATGGTGAAAGTGGTAAATTTAATGTTATATATATTCTGCTACAATAAAAATGATGTTACAAAGCAATACAGTCTTGCATAAACAAGTGTTTATATTGTTTAGTAAGAAAAGGCAGTATGCATAGTATAATCCCATTTTTTAATTTTAAAAATGTGTGTGTGTGTGTGAGTGTGTGACAGAGATCAATTAGAAAGCAGTAGAGAAAAATGGGTGATTTTTGCTTTCTTCTTAAAACCATTCTGTATCATCTAAAATGTTCACAGTGGACTTAACGTTCTTATTGTAATATGGAAAAAGCAATAAAGCAATTTCTTTTTTCAAACATAGAAAAGAACAAAAGAAAGTTCTGGATTCTGGTGAGTTGAATCAAAGGCATTGGTCTCCTGGGCTAGAATGGTCCCTTCTCGCCACCTTCCACAAAAGGGAGGCAGAGATCAGACAGAGAGACGGGTCGGGGTCACGCCGAGGGAGACAGCCATCAGCCTGGCCTGGAGAAAACAATCCTGTTCTGCCCCAGAGACGCTGAGATGGGTCGATTCCTTTTGTCCCCTCCCACTGAGGCCACCCCCGCCCCCCAAGAGCCCTTACCGTCAACGTCGTACACCTGGAAGAGGAATTTGAGTTTGTCCATGGGGTTGCCGTGGATGAGCAGGGTCAGCGCCTCCAGCAGCTCCTGGAGCGTGATGGTGCCACTTCCATCGGAGTCAAACAGGGCGAAGAATCTCTCGGCAAAGAAGGACTGTGGCCAGAGAAGGACGGGAAAAGGCACAGCGTGGACTCGGGGCCTGCGCTTTGAAGTCGCGTGGTGTGCGCGCACGCATGCGCCGTGGGGTGGTGGGATTCCGGCAGGACTCCGTCCGGTGCGTGGGGTGTGATCGCAGGGTGTGATCTGTCCGCTTGGCCACACTAGGGGGCGGTGTCCATGGCCCATCCTGCCTGCCTAGGGCAAGTTCGGACTCCCGGTGGAAGAACTATTCAGATCCCTGCAGGGAGGATGGACTTGTGTCTGGGCCTCAGGCCCTCTGCCGGCACTGCAGCCTGGTCATTTGTATGGACTGTCTGTCTCCTACCTGCCATCGCCCCCATCAGCCTTGCAGTTCAGACCCCTCAACCTGCAAAAAGGGTCAGACAGAAGGTCCCCTGCAGGCTCCTCCCAGGTCCTGTCTCATCCACTTGGGGTGAACACGAGGGATAAGTGAACCAGGACTGTCTTGGAGGATGGTGCTTGAACACCTGTATCTCGCCTGTACTAACTGTTTAAGCTGCCGGTAGCCTACACTTCAGGCTTGTTCTTAAGCGCCAGTTCACTCACTCTATTCATTCATTCATTCATTCATTCATTCATTCATTCATTCGGCAGCCATGTCCCGCACAGCTCCTGCCTGCCGGGCCTGGTGATAGACACTCAACACAGAAATTAAGACACACTGGGTCAGAGCCCCAGATATACCAAGCGCAGATGCTCCCCTCGGGGCAGGGGGAGGGGTTCGTAGGGTTCAGGTCTCACCTAAAGGGACCGTGAGGAGTTTACAAGCGCCAAGTGGGGGCCAAAGTCGGCTGTAGACAGTCAGCCCTGCCTTGGCTCTCCTCTTTCTTCCCTAGATCACTGGGTAAGACCTTAATCAGTCTCCACCATCTTGAATGGTCTTTATCTTAAGGTATTTTGCAGCCTCCTGTTGAGAGTGTAATGTTCTGCCAGGCAGGTTTTTTTTCCTTCCCCATGTTCTCTATATAGAAGGAGGCATGGCATTTAGAGCTCTTAGCAGCATCTCTGCTACCAGCAAGTGAGGGGCCCTCTGGTCCAAACGGGGACATGTAGATGGTCCCTGGCGCGCCCCTATCAAGGACACAGGCCACCACCAGATGCCAGCCCACAAAACAGGTGGGGAGAGGTTGACATTTGCCGGCTCACTCCCCCTGTCTCTCTGTGGATGTCTCCCCAGTCTGCCCGGCATGCAGGCTGTTCCAGGGATGGGCAGAGACCCTATCAACTGGGAGAGGACCGGGGACAGTGTGGGTGTCTCACGGATACAAACCATTGGAAAACATTATTTCTTGGAAGGAGGCTTACGTACACGATAGCATCAACTCTGCCCGTGAGGCCGGTGGAAAATATGAGGCCAAAAATACTTCTTAAGATTTGGCAAGCTGCTGATACCCAACTTCACATGTTGTTTTGAAGACCCCAGGAGGCCATGGCTACCAAAGGGACGGACGGGCATTGGTAGCAGAGACAGAAACGTCCTCCGATCCTGCTTAGAGGTGGGGCCTTGAGCCCCGAGGATGCCCGGGGAGCGATCTTTCCCTCCTTGTGACGTACTGTGTCCCTGAGAGCCGGATGGCTCTTCCCTTATGAACGCGGGGCCCTACTTCGGGAGCGGACACTTGCCTCTTTCACATTCAAGGCTGTTTTGAATTCTTGCAGGTTGATCTCCCGGTCTTCTCCCGCAATGGTCTCAAACTGGTGTGTCACCCACTGAAGCCACTTGGCGTCCTCCTCGGCACTCATGGTGCTTGAGACAAAGGAGACAGGTTTATGGCCTTGGGGTGGCCAAGGGCTCCGGGTGGTTCCAGGCCCTGTGCCTTCTTCTAACAAGGGCCTCGGGCCTTCCATGGGCTGGATCAGCCTCCCCCGGACTGCTGAGTCCCTGTCTCTCCCTTCCATCTGGCATCAGCCAGCCTGGGCTCGTGTCTCCTTAGGTTTCGGAATGATAGGGTCCCAGTGAGATGGAGTCCAGATTGTGGGCATAAGGTCAGAGAGTAGCACACTCTGGGAATGCCATTAACATGGTGACAATCCTCCCCCACCTCACATTTACACAGCTCTTTAGTGTTTTCCAAATACCTCCCACCCACCACTTCATTTGGTCTCTATCACCATCTGGTCGGTCACGACATTTTATAAGGAAGAAATAGATTCCGAGCAGATGAGTACTTTAGCAAAATTTATTCAGCCAGTGAGACAGGGAGAGAGAGAGAGAGAGAGAGAGAGAGGGAAAGTGAGCACTCAAATCCAAGGCTGGCGTGTTTCCCATCATGCCCCAGAGCCTCCACCCTTTGCTTGAATATTTCTAGTACACGCCATGCCAGGACTCAGGCCTCGGGTCTTGACTCTCTGGGTCCAGGGCATATTCTATGATGTTCCAAGGGTATCAGTGGGCAGACACCCTCCCAGATGAGCTAGCTATACAATGACCTGACAGAGGTTAGTGATAAATGAGGACACCACTTTCTGTGGCATCAGAATCCGACAAACCAGAATTGAGACTGTGACTGAGGATATATAACATCCTGTTGCTATCAACCTCCCTCTGAGAGAATGGCTTTGTCTGTATCCCATGAGTGCAATATAACCTTAAATGATTTAGCTACAATTGATCCTCATTATTTGCAGATTCCGTATTTGTGAATTCGCCTATCTGTTACACTTTACCTGTGACCCCTAAATCAATGCTTGTGGCATTTTTGCAGACATTGTGGACTTGAGCAGAACAGTGATAAACTTGAGCTGCCCAAGGTACACGTTCCCAGCTGGGGTTGAACAAAGTGATGCTCTGCCTTCTTGTTTCTTGTTTCAGCTCTCATATTATGAACAAGTGTCCTTCTCATGATCTACTGAGTACTGCAAGGGTTGAATTTTTGTGCTTTTTGTTGGTGATCTTGCTTTGTGTGTTTTTTTTTGTTTTTTTTTGTTTTTTTTTTTTTGAGAGAGAGAGGTCTCAAGTGAGCAAGGGCGGAAACAGAAAGACAGAGACAGACAGAGAGAGAGAAGTGGGGCTCACCCAACGTGGGGATTGTGTTCACCAGAAGCAGGGTTCGTGCTCACCTGAAGCGTGGGCTCAAGTTCACCTGTCAGACTTGAACTCACAAACCGTGAGATCATGACCTGAGCCGAAGTCAGATGCTTAACTTGCTAAGCCACCCAGGTGCCCCATTTTTTTCATTCTTAAAAAAAATTGGGGGGACGCGTGGGTGGCTCAGTCGGTTGAGCATCTGACTTTAGCTCAGGTCATGATCTCCCAGTTTGTGAGTTCAAGCTCCATGTCGGGCTCTGTGCTGACCACTCAGAGCCTGGAGCCTGCTTTGGATTCTGTGTCTCATTCTCTCTCTGCCCCTCACCCACTTGTGCTCTATCTCTCAAAAATAAATACATGTACAAAAAAATTTAAAAAAACATTTTTTTTTGGATGCCTGGGTGGCTCAGCCGATTAAGTGTCTGACTTTGGCTCAAGTAATGATCTCAAGGTTCATGGGTTCGAGCCCTGCATCGGGCTCTGGGCTGACAGCTCAGAGCCTGGAACCTGCTTCGGATTCTGTGTCTCCCTCTGTCTCTCTGCCCCTCCCCTATTCGTGCTCTCCCTCTCTCTCAAAAATAAATAAAAATTAAAAATAATAATAATAAAAAAAATTTTTAGGGGCACCTGGATGGCTCAGTCAGTTAAGTGTCTGACTTTGGCTCAGGCTATGATCTCACGGTTTGTGGGTTCGAGCCCAGAGTGGGGCTCTGTGCTGACAGCTTGGAGCCTGAAGCCTGCTTCAGATTGTGTGTCTCCCTTTCTCTGTCTCTGCCCCTACTCTGCTTGTGCATGCGCACTCTCTCTCTCAAAAATAAATGAACATAAAAAAATTCTTAATTTTTTTTTTCTTACAGGGGACACACAATGTTACATCAGTTTTCAGGTGTATAATGTATCTCTACATGCTATGCTGTGCTCACAGCGAGTGTTAACTACCATCTGTCACCATGTAACATGATTACAATGTCATTGAATACATTCCCTGTGTTGTACCAGGGATTTTGCTCTTTAAAATGGCCCCAAGAGTGATGCTGAAATGCTGGCTAGCACTCCTCAGCACAAAAAGGCTGTGATATGCCTTATGGAAAAAATATGTGTATTAGGTAAGCTTTGTTCAGACATGAGTTTTAGCACTGTAGACTGTGAGTTCTACATTAACAAATCAACAACTTACATTCTTTTTTTTTTTTTTACATTTTATTTATTTTGAGAGAGAGTGAGCACAAATGGGGGAGGGGCAGAGCGAAAGGAAGACACAGAATCTGAAGTAGGCTTCAGGCTCTGAGCTGTCAGAACTGAGCTGGACGTGGGGCTCAAACTCACAAACCGTGAGAACATGACCTGAGCCGAAGTTGGATGCTTAACCGACTGAGCCACTCAGGCGCCCCTCAACAACTTACATTCTTAAAGGAGGCTTTAACTACAAGCACACATAAAACAGGGTTATACATTGAGGGGTGCCTGGCTGGCTCAGTTGGTAGAGTGTATGACTTTTTTTTTCTAAGTTTTATTTATTTATTTTTTGAGAGAGAGAGAGAGAGCAGAGGAGGGGCAGAGAGAGAGGGGGGCAGAGGATCTGAAGCAGACTCCAGGCTCTGAGCTGTCAGCACAGAGCCTGACACGGGGCTTGAACCCACGAATCACGTCCCATGTGGGGCTCGAACTCACGAACCATGAGATCATGATCTGAGCCAAAGTCAGACACTTAACCGACTGAGCTACCCAGGCACCCTGGAGTGTGTGACTCTTGATCTGGGGGTCATGAGTTTGAGCTCCACATTGGGTGTAGAGATTATAAATAAGTAAACTTAAAAAAAAAAAAAAACCCAAGGCTATACATTGATTTTTTGACAAAAACGTTGCACCCAGATGTTAGCAAGGACTTAACCCTGTATTTTCCCTAGGAGCAATGGCTCAGAATTCCCTAATTCATTGTTTTCAATGACTTTATAGGACACAACTGCCATGAATAATGAGAATCAACTGTATTTATATATTAAATTTAAAAATAAACAAGCTAACTTTCACTTAAGGAACTGGGAAAAAAATAAAATACACACACAATAAATAGAAGGATTGACTATTAAGTAGAAAGTCTGAAATTCAGGAACTAGAAAACTGAATAAAGTCAAAATAATAAATTTATTTTGATTAGGGCAATGATTTCACAGATGTATCCCTATGCTAAAAGCTCATCAAACTGTTCGCTTTAACTATGCGGTTTGTGTTTTGTCAATTACGCTTCAACTCAGCGAAAAAAGAAGTTGGGTCTTGGAAAAGCCTGAATAGAAAAACACGATTAAAGAAAAAAAAGTGAAAGAAATACATTAATATTGAGAAGGGCAATAAAAATGGAGGTGCTACAGAAATGGAAGAGTATTGTGTGTAGATTGTTGGTGAATTCAGGGAAATGAATCGATTTCAAGAAGTAACAACCTGAACAGACCAAAAATCATTCAAGAAAGGAGAAAGGCAGTGAAATGTTAACCCTTTACAATAATATCAGGCCCAGCTCGTTGTTACAGCTGAGTCCTATCCAATCTTCAAAGAATAAGTCCAATGCCAAATCATCTCAGACGGTAAAAAACAATGGTAAGACTCCCAATTTACTTTACAAAGCCACCATTACCCAATCCCGATAAAGATAGCATACAAAAAAGCAAGCAAGCAAGCAAGCAAGATAGATGGATAGATAGAAAATTCTAGACAAATGTAACTTGTAGAGATGCAAAACTCCAACTAAAATACAACCAAGCTAAACCCTGGGGTTTACTTAAAAAATAATAGGGGCGCCTGGGTGGCTCAGTCCGTTGAGCGTCCAACTTCAGCTCAGGTCATGACCTCACAGTTCGTAGGTTCGAGCCCCATTTCGGGCTCTGTGCTGACAGCTCAGAGCCTGGAGCCTGATTCAGTTTCTATATCTTTCTCTCTCTCTCTCTGCCCCTCCCCTTCTCACACTCTGTCAATCTCTCTCTCAAAAAAATAAACATTAAAAAAAATTTAAAAAAAACAATCCACCTTTATCACGAAGGACTTTTCCCAGAAATACAAGGATAGTTCACTGTTAAGTAATCTATGAAGTGCCCTCTGCTGGCCAGTAGTGCAGTATGGGAGGAGTAGTGATTCCCAAACTGTGATACATGCCTGTCAGAAACAGGGAGGGCTTTGCTAAGATGCCCATTCTGACTCACCAACTTTGGCGCGGAGGGGCTGGGAATCCGCACATGTAACCAAGCACCCTGGAAGTTTGCGACCCACAGTGAGTGGTCTAGGCTCACACCTGGAGACCTGCTGCCCTGAAGGTTAAAGCCCCACTTACTTCACCTCTCGGGACCTAGAGGAAGGCATTCCACAAAGCAGAGAGAATTCTGGAAAACAGGCTGCATTGCATGCAGGTGCTAACCCAGGGAGGGTGGGGATGGGTTTCTGATGTTCACCGCCCCCTTCTCAGAAATATGAGTGTTTTGGGCCTGCAGAATGAGAAGAAATTCTGGAAGGCTGGTGGAGAAGAGGCTGGAACAGCTGGCAGGAAGGAAGGAGGGAGGGCATGGGGGAAAAGAAGGAGACAGAAGTCCTCGACAACGAGCGAGGAATCCAGATTTCACAGCTCCAGGGGAACAGTATGCTCACCAGAGGCCAGAATTTTCCTCAGGAGACCAGGATTTTGGGTCCGGGCTTGCTTGGCCCTAACTGAATAATAACTGGCCCCATGCACTCTAGTTTCCTCATCTGTAAAATGTGACAAGCATTCTTCCAACAGGAGCTGCCGCAGGGATCACACGAGGTGCCATTTGGGAAAGTGCAACTGGCAAACACTGTACAAATGCCAGATATCGTCGTTAGTCTGACGATGCCGATGCCTGATTTTACAGATGTGAAAACAGGCCCAGAGAGGACTGGTGACTTGCCCAAGATTGCACAGCTTGCTAATGACCAGGCAAGACCAGGCTCGGGTCTCCTCACTTCTGTCCCGGGCAGACAGTCATCCTTTGTAGCTCACCCCATCTCCAAAGGCAAAGAACCCTTGCCTTTCCCTTGTCGCTGGCATGGAAAGCTAGACAAATGAGCCACTTACCCTCTGCAACTTTCAAGGTCTGGTTGGGCTGGGTCTCCCGGTGTGCTCATCCTTTCTCCTGTTTTCTAGACCACAGGTCCCAGAGAGGCTGTGGTCTGTATGGCAGCCTGCATCGAGGAACCCACAGTTCACTTCTCTCCAGCTCCTCCTCTTCCTGAGTCTTCTAAAGCCCTGCTCACACCCACAGCCCCTCGGTCACCCACGTGCTGGCCACTGGACAACTTTCTCCTGAGAAATTCCAACAAGGAGCCTATTGCGAGGGTGGGGCAAGGATTTATCTGGAAAGATGTTGGCTGTCTTCCATCTGGCCCGATATCTTGCATTTCCCCTCCCTCAAGGAGATCAATAGGTAGGAGATCTAGAAATGCACCATGCAATAATAATAATAATAAATCACCAATAAGTCAGAGTAGGCCCTACTCAACACCTAATGAGCCAACTGAGACTTCATTGATCCCAATAGCATTGATTACCAACAGAAATGTTGAAGTACTCACTCTGAGCCATACAGTGTGCTAAGGACTATATACACAGCATTCAGGTAAATATATAACACAGTCCTGTCTGGTGGGCATTATCATCATTAAGCCACTGAAGAGGAAAGTGGGGCTCTGAGATGTGAAATAACATGTCCAGATGGCGTGGCAGGCAGGCATTCAACCATGGTAGGCTAACTCCGGAGACTGTGTTTTTATTTTAATGTTCATTTATTTTTGAGGGAGGGGAGGGGGAGAGGGGCAGAGATACAGAGACACAGAATCTGAACCAGGCTCCAGGCTCTGAGCAGTCAGCACAGAGCCCAACACAGGGCTCCAACTCTCGAGCTGTGAGATTGTGGACCTGAGCCGAGGTTGGAAGCTGAACCTTCTGAGCCCCCCAGGCGCCCGTGGACACTGTATTTAACTACCCAGGGAGCAAAGCTCAGTCCCAAAGTACTGAGTAAAAACATATTGGAACAGTCCTGTGAAGAGGTTGCCAGTTCAAGGGACCTGGGGAGGGAGGGAGGTCTGTGAGCTCTATTTGCTAAAAACCTAAGAGAGATTATACAAACACAAAGCCATGCCACAACTAAAATTTGAAGTGCTTTTTACTTTTTGTCCTGCCTGGCAAGAGATCAGCTGAGGCTGAACATCTGTGGCAGATTAGGACCCCTGACTGGTGATTTTAGAGGTCTCTGGTTAATTTCCAAAATGAGGGCAATAATAATTGTTTGGTTTATTTATTGTGAGAGACAGAGAGCAGGAGAGGGGCAGAGAGAGAAAGGGGAGGGAGAATCCCCATCAGGCTCCGCGTTGGCAGTGGACGCTCGGCTAGAACTCACGAACTAGGAGATCATGAGGGGGAAATCAAGAGGCGGACACTTAACCAACTGAGCCACCTAGGTGCCCCAAGGAACGTGTAGTTTACGTTAAATCTCCTTACAGCTTGCAGCCCATTGAGAGACACCTGAGACATACAGAACGTGACCTTCCTCCAGGAACTCATGGCTGCCTTAGTGCCTTAATATTTATGTCTGATATTATTAAAGACTAAAAGTAACTTTAGTTACTTAACAGCAGCTAGCTTCTCAAGATCCTGAAAGCCCTGCTTCCAAATTCCTTAGAGACTTATGCTCTCTCTAACCCCCCCAATTAAAAAGTATATAATCAGTCACTCCTCACAATCCCAGCACGGCTCCTTCTGCCCACGGGTCCTGTCCCTGTGCCATAATAAAATCACCTTTTTGCACCAAAAACATCTCAAGAATTCTTTCTTAGCCATTCTTTCATGAACCCCAAACTTCCAAATTTCATAATTTCATCACCATGATCTTGGTTTAGGCTTCATGTGCTTTCCTTTGACTCAGGATTAGAAAGACCTTCAAGGTCGTAGAGCTTAACCAACCTTTTTTTAGCTTAAGTCTCTCTTCCGTCATTCCCCAACCATACTTGGTGGTCGTCAGCCCTGACTTTGCACACCCCCAGTCACAGGGGGATCACTTGCTTGGGAAGCAGCAAATGGGGGGCTATTTTGAGTATTCAAATAGTGTTCCTCTGTTCTAGAGTGAAGAGAGAAATAGAAACTTCCATTAAGTGATTTTAGAAACTATGTGTAGGAAATGGAAAATTCTTTTGAAGAAATAGGCAAAACAGTTAGTATGAATTATGCTTTCAGGTGGTAACCAGTTAGGGAAGAAAAGGAGGACTAAGAAGAGGTGAGACAGAGCTGCCCCTGTCCTGGCGTCACTGTGATTACCCGTGGATGATTCTCTGTCTACTCTCACTGCACTGTGAGCTCCTAAAGGCAAGGACTCTGGCTCATTAATTTTGAATTTTTTTAATGTTTATTTATTTGTGAGACAGAGACAGAGCATGAACGGGGGAGGGACCGAGAGAGAAGGAGACACAGAATCCAAAGCAGGCTCCGGGCTCTGAGCTGTCAGCACGGAGCCTGACACGGGGCTCGAACCCACAAACTGTGAGATCATGACCTGAGCTGAAGTCAGATGCTTAACCGACTGGGTCACCCAGGCGCCCCTTTGGCTCATTAATTTTGAATCCCAGGAAACTAGCACAGTGCCCAACACATGGTGGGCACTCCAGGTGTATTTGTGGAATGAATAAACCTGCCTCAATTTGACAAGTATTTATGAAATACCATGTGCCATGCACCGTCTGGGTCTACGGAGATGAGTAAAAGAATCCAGCACGGTAAAGGCAGATACAGAAGGGCCAAGAAGAGAGTATCAGGAGGACTCCCCAGTGGAAGTGACTGACCTGAGATGGGTTTTAGAGTATGAATAGGAGTTTGCCAGCTGGAGAACAAAAAGGACATTCCGAGCAGCTGGAAGATCGAACACAGAGGCACGAAGGCGGAAATGCATACTGTGTGTTCAGGAAGCCAGAAGCAGTGCAGGTGTAACTAAACAGCGACATGGGGAAGGACGAGCCTGAAAACGGACCCAGAGCCAGGAGCAGGAGTCAGATCATGAAGGGTCTTGTACGAGGCAAGCTAAAGAGCTAGGACCCTACCCTGGGATGTGGGGTGCCAGTAAAAAATATAACGCAATGGAGCAATGTGATCCGATACTTGCCAACGTTCTGGCACATAAAAGTCTAATTTATATACTAGTATCTGGGCAAAATGCAAATTTTTAAAGGGAGGATAATAAACATTGTGAAATGTATTTTTAAACATGCCTTCCTTTTCACAAACATTTGGGGAGGATAGACTTTTTTCCCTGGTTACGTTTTTGCGTGATCACAAAAATGATAAACATTAATTATAGAAAAAAAATACACAAAAGCGCGCACACACACACACAGATTTAAAAAAAATCACTGTAAACCCACCCACCCAGGTAAAGTCTCTGCTACAATGAAGGGTTCCTTTCTAGTCACATTCAGAAGATAGCCCAGCATGGGATTCGGAGTGGAATAGTTTCTGAGGAACCCATTTGTATGAGCTGGTTTGCCTTTTGAAAGGTGAAATGGAATGGGATGGCTTAGGACATGGGGTTTTACCCCATGGGGTTTTACAATGGAGCTGGGAGGCCATTAAGGAGGTGGGCCTGCACACTTCACCAGGTAGACCGTGAACTTCTGAACCGGGCCAAACCACAAATATTCTAAGGATCCAGCCTGAACACCTGCAACTTGCTACACAAAGAGACTTTGCTTAGTGATAGCCCTAGCAACCAATTAGATTCAGCCAACACTGGTTTTCTGCCACCAACAGAAATTCTTTGTAAACAACTTATACAAGCATTCCCTTTTGTCTTTAAAAGCCCTTGGCTTGTGTTCCCTGGGAGGGCACCCTTTGGGTCACTGCCTACCTTTGTTTCCCTGAATTGCAATTCTGAGAGCACAAATATATGCTTTTGTTTTATTTTATTATTTATTTTAGCGAGTTGGCTCAAATATTTTGTTTGGTATTTTATTTTAGCGCAGCCTCTTTTCTGAGCCGACAACCTTGTGGGAAAGGCTTGGGGTGGCACCTGGGAAGAGGAGGAGGAAAGCATGGGTCTGTTCTACCCTTGACCTCTGGTCTGAGCTCTCGGAAAGCAGATCAGATGCTCTTCCCGCTTTTGCAGGGAATGCAGGTGGCCCGGGTACGGTGTGGGCTCAGGGAGTCTTGAAGTTTCAGAGGACCTCAGTGGCTGAGCAGTGGAGGAGATGTCCTCAAATGGCTGGCTGGTGGTGGACAGCTCCGGGAGCACCAGGGTGGCAGGGATTTGAGCAGGCTGGCTTGTGAGCACAAGCGACAGCAAAGGCCCACGGGAGAAACCCCTGGGGGAAGTTGGAAGTCGAGTAGGGAGGCCAAGATCCACAGTGAGAAAAAGGTGGGCATGAAAGCTAATGTGACTTCCTTCATACCTGCAAGCTGGGGTCAGAAAAGTCAGAAGATGCAACTTGGGGCTCCTGGTTAAGGTGGCCCGAAGTCAGCCCCTGGAGGACCCCTCGTCTATACCACACACAAAGCAATGACAGATAAAATACTTTAAAAAATGTAAAAGACCGGCTGCTCTCAAAAATAGGATAAATATCCCTGTCGGCCAGAGATGAAACAGAAACACACAATGGCTGTAAAATGGAATCTCTCGTCTCGCTCACGTCTGGGAGCAGAGGCTTCTAAGAACTCTGCTCCTGGGGTAGGATGCGAGTCTCCCGACTGATGGATCAGGGCTGAAAACAGCTGTGACCAACCATTGCCTGGGATTTACTTATTTTGTACTTGGGAGAAAAAGAGGAGTTGACATTGTCTCCTCACCCAGACCTGGACAGGCCAATGCCTGTTTGGTGACTGCACTCCCAGTGTCCTCAGACCTCCATGGATGGGAGCTCTGGGCCACCAAGGTAAAACCAGTATTGAATTGGGGAGGAGGGGAAGGCAGAAAGCTGGATGGAAGCAACAGTGAAACGTCTAGAGGAAGACTGAGCATGAACACACACACACACACACACACACACACACACACACACACACACGGCATTCAAGATGAGCCAACAAGCTAGGATTCCAAAAGTCCCCAAAAGAATGAATGCTAAGAAGACAGCCAATCAAACCAATAACAGGGAGAATTCATTCTGTAAGTTGTGAAAATCATAGACTTTAAGCCTATGTAGATTCCTTGAAGAGAGAAAAGAAAGAAAAACACCCATTAGAAAAAAGAAATAAAGGGGCACCTGGGTGGCGCAGTCGGTTAAGCG